CTTTCTTCAATATCCTCAGTCCCTGTCCTCCCCTGAGAATGAAAGACCAAATTTTACTCCACGTAATAAAGGGCTTAATTCGCTTAGTTGGGGTTGGAGTCCAACTGGGTCCACTCGGCACGGCGGCTACTGATTGGCCTATTGTATCCTGCCCCGGGTGATTATGATGATGGAGAATTTGGTGGAATGAACATTGGCAAGGGAAACCGAAGTACTCGGAGAGAACCCGCCCCAGCGCCACTTTGTCCACCACAAATCCCACTTGATCAGACCCGGGATCGAACCCGAGCCGCCACGGTGGGAAGCCAGCAACTAACCGCTTGAGCTACTGTGCAGCCATTAATATAGGGCTTACTAACATTTTAAGAATTTCAGTTTTTATACTCATAAGTACGAAAAATTAATAATAGTGACTAAATTAGTACTGTGATAACAGGTAATACGAAAGCCCGCCATTGGGCACGATCCCGAGCTTATTCCGTTCACCTTTCGTTCTGCTGGTTCATCTCCTTAAGGTCCATTTCGTTGTTAGTCTTCTACACCCGTGTCAGTCGTCCAATTGGCCCTTTTGAATTCATTTCGTACCAAAATCTTGTGGCATTCTTCTTTTCGCCAAATCTGAACCACATTCCCACATCATCGTAGGCTTCTTTATGTCACTCTCCTGACAGTACTAGGCGATCTATGAAATCATGAAATATATCGTCACATAATAATCATAATTCACTCACTAATTTCATCCATGTGTGAATATTAATGATAAAAGTAAAACGTCTGTAGGTCGCGCTATAGCTCAAGCGGTTAGTCGCTGGCTTCCAACCGCGGCGGCCCGGGTTTGATCCCGGGTCTGGTCACGTGGGATTTGTGGTGGACAACGTGGCGCTGAGGCAGGTTTTCTCCGAGTAGTTCGGTTTCCCCTGCCAATCTTCATTCCAGCAAATTCTCCATCATTATAATCACCCGGGGCAGGCTACAATAGGCCAATCAGTGGCCGCCGTGCCGAGTGGACACAGTTGGACTCCACCCCCCACTAAGCAAAAAAAAAAATGTATGTAGGAAGAGACCAGAGGGTGAGAGGTCCCCCATCCTACACCAATTGCGTCTGGCGTCAGCATGTTTGGACAGTTGTTATAGAGCTGAACATAGAAAAAACGGCATATCCTCTTGTTTAGAGTCTGTATATGCATGACATGCACTTCCGCTTCTGTACAGGGCATTGTCTTGAACATGTGACTTCCGTTTTCTGTCCCCTCCTTAACTTAACAAGCAGGCAGGTGATGACTAATACAGGTCTAGATGCACTTTTCGCTTTCTTTTCCCATGAAGGTGCCTCCTTCGATCCGTAGGAATAGTATGTTTGAACGCCAGGCCGAAATCAGTTCTATTTAATATTTAGATATCCGAGAATTTTCACGCTGAGGTTTTCCGCATTTTTTAATAATCCACGAAAGTGTTCAGTTTTAAATATTCCAGTGTTCGTGTTTCAAAATATACATCAGAACCTTCTGTCATCACTCACAGAATGTAAACATCCAGGTTTCCGCTCCGCGAACAAAGATTGTTGAGAATATTTGGGCCCAAGAGAGAGTGAGAGGAGCAAGGGTGGAAATGGCTATTCAGAATTAGGCAGACGCCCCAAATCGGTAAAGATGTGTTCTTATATATAGCCCTTGCGGGCAGTAGCATGCGAGGTCTGGGATAGTATTCAGCAAGTCCTAGCGACCATTCTATGGAGACTCGAAGGCAAATGTCGCTTATGTCTGCGGCCAATCCCTATGCTAAGCACGAGTGTAAGATACGTGGAGATAAAGCCGCATAGGTTTGTACCTTGGCATTAGATGGAGATGAGTAATCAGCTTCACCCTAAGTTCGCGTTATTCTCAGGTGAATTGTCTCCAGAGTGTGTTGGCCCCAGAGGCAGTCTGGTCATACACTTTTTCCTTTGTATTCTCTTTTATTTACATTCAAAACGTCAGTACCGGGAACTTAACCAGGGACATTCAGTCCTTAGCGTCTGTTAAATGACTTGAACCCAGCATGCTGGTATAGCGGGAGGGGCTACTTCGAATCTCGGCCTGAGCATCCGTATCCTGACTGAATTCTTCGTCGTTTTTCTCAGTTCTTCCAGGGAAATTCCTGCATAATGTTTCGGTTAGGCTGCTACCGCTTCTTTCGAAGTCCTTTCCAGTTCATTAAACATCAATTATCCTATCATTCGACGCTATTTAAAGGTAAAGTTCTCCCTGTGCTTAACTAATTAAGCACTATGCTGTGAAGATGTATGAGGGAGTGGTTGTATAGATCCACGTTTTCTTGATATCGGCACTAGTTGGAGGCGAGTGGTCAGCTTCACGCCCAGGCCGCTTTACCCCTGGGGAAAGAGCCCTCGGTACCCATTAGATAGGCTGGGCGGTCCCCAGAGCCGGTCTGGATGACCTGGAGAAGAGAATATTCTTTACCCTACTGGGGCTCGAACTCCGACCCCTCTGTCGTCCAACCCGTAGCCAGTCGCTATACTGACTGAGCTACCCCGGCTCCCTCATTCGATGCTATGGAGCTTGAAATATTGACGGCATCACAAAGTAAACCACATAGTAAGTAATTAAACGTGGCTTTGAAGTAAGGAAAAAATTCATGTAATTCTTGTATGAAAGTCGATAAAACTTATTGTATTATTGAATTAATGTTAAGGATATGTTAATATCGAGGTTATATGCTTGCTACCATTCAGTCCAGAACCTTTTGTCTTCTCGTCTGCTGTCCCAAAACATAAAATTTAGAACATACAAAACTATAATTTTGCCTGTAGTTCTGTATGGGTGTGAAACTTGGTCTCTGACATTAAGGGAGGAACGCAGACTGAGGGTGTTTGAGAACAGAGTGTTGAGAATATTTGGACGGAAGAGAGATGAAGTGACAGGAAGTTGGAGAAAACTGCATAATGAGGAGCTTCGTAACTTGTACTCTTCTCCAAGTATAATTAGAATGATCAAGACAATGAGGATAAGGTGGGCAGGGCATGTAGTACGAATGGTGGAGAAGAGTAATGCATATAGGATATTGGTGGGAAAGCCACAATGAAAGAGACCACTGGGAAGACCAAAGCGTAGGTGAGTGGACAATATTAAAATGGATCTTAGAGAGATAGCATGTGATGGTATGGATTGGATTGATCTGGCTAAGGGCAGGGACCAATGGAGGGCTCTTGTGAACACGGTAATGAACTTTCGGGTTCCATAAAATGCTGTGAAGTTCTTGAGTCGCTGCACAATTGGCGGCTCCTCCAGAAGGGCTCAGCTCCGTGAGTGAATAATATCAGGATACATCAATATAGACACAGAATTTGAAATTCCAGTCATACTCTAAAGACAAGAAGTTCTCGGAAAGTAATGGGATTACACAGATATTTGAGGACAGGAACAAATCAAAATTATGTGTATGAAAAAGGTAAAAACCAATTAAATTTGCGGAATGCTTGCCACCTTTCCGCTCGGAATATGTTTTCTTCAGATGTCTGTCTAAAAACGTAAAGATGAATATATACATGCAGAATTATATGTAACATCCGTAATATTCGTGTCTGTCATCTTAAAGATAAAACATGGGAGCAGACTGAGGCTGCTTCAGAGTAGGGTAATGAGGTGAATACTCTGCCGTAAGGAAGGGGAGGTGAAGGGAGAACGGACAAAAGTTCATAACGAAGAGCTTCATAAAATGAAGGCCTAATCCTCGCAGCATAGGTTGATTAAATTAGGGTCCCTTCGATATAGGTCAGTCCAAGTCCGACTGGGGCCACGCCATAGTTGAAGTGGTTAGTCGCTGGCTTCTCACCGCGGCGGCCCGGGTTCGATCCCGGGTCTGGTGAAGTGGAATTTGTGGTGGACAAAGTGGCTCTGGGGCAGGTTTTCTCCGAGTACTTCGGTTTCCCTTGCCAATCTTCATTCCACCAATTGCTCCACAATCCTATCATCTGGGGCTGGTACAATAGGCCAGAAGTGGCCGCAGTACAAGGGACTTAGTCCCACCCCACTAGCAATAAAAAGTCCAGACTGAACTGTCAGGTTGCCTTTTGGAATTTTCCTGTACCGAATAAGTTAAATCATATCTTTTAATCTTTTCTTCCTCTTTGTTCAGAGGCCCACTTAGAATGCCGAACGCCTACCACGTCACCCCACCCTTCACCTTGTCATTCTCATACGTGGGTATGTCACGTCTGTTTGTGTTAGAGCAATTTTGCTTCATGCTGTTTTCTATGCTTGTATATTTCTTAAATAATAAGTTCCAGTAGATTTGTTAAACCGTTGCCTAACCAGCAGGAGTCTTCACGATCTCAGTAATGCTCTTCCACGATTACAGTTGGGTACCAACTCGTGTCCCTACGGGGACTTCAGCAAGTCAAAAAGTGTATACATAGCGTCACATCTCTTGGAGCGTTAGCTCTGTTATTGCGTCTACGTTTTCACTGTGTGAATGCAAACTTTCGGTGCTGTCTTGTTTGTAAGGGCTGGGCTGAGTAGCGAAAAGGCACAAAGAAGGACGAGCCTTCATTTTGGAAAGGTCTAATGACACAGCACAACAGATTTTTACTTTTTTCGGTAACGTATACGAAATAGTTTGGTTTTTCTAAATCTGGTATGATGCGCACAAAAATGACAAAGATTGTAACACTGTGTTCTTTTTTGGGCCCTTTTTTGTATGCAGACAATATGAGCATATGACTGCATACCACTTATTGTGCAGTCTGGTGCAATAACTTTATTTATAACAGAGTAAACTTTTATTTACTAGTAAAACATTATTTTCTGAGAAGAGTGTGGTGTGTGACGCCGTGTAGTTCAGTAGATGCCAATGGATTGACTTCGGTACAAAATTTTATGAAAATTCGTCAAGTGAATGAAAAGACAAACGCAAGTAAATGATAACCTTAAGCGTATTTTTCCTTCAAAATATGGACATATGGCAGAAATTAAATGTATGTACTGCATTTTTCCTCTTTCCAGCCACCGCTGTGGACTGACAGATGAGGATCTCAATCGACGTTGGAGTAACCCAAACCAGCATCTGCACCCTGTTATTTATCATACTAAAGTAAGTATCTGTATATTAATAACGTCGTATTAATTTCTCATCTCTCGCTTGCAGGGTATATATCCCGCCCACCTCATCCTTCCGGATGTAGTCACTCTCATTTATAATGTTTTCACGGTAACTAAGCAACTTCAGTCTCTCCCTACACTTTCAATGTACGTGTAAGAAAAAGCCCGGTAACTTTTTCTTTTCTCTGTGTGGATGTGTGTTTATTTAGACGCAGTAACGTTTCCAATGCTATTGCATGTGTCTGAAAGGCCGAACTAAAATCACAACACAAGAGTAAAACCGGAAGGCCTGGCTCCGAATTGGTATGACGATTAAGTCCGGTGCGAGATATGCATCACGTACTCACCCATTGAATTTTAAACGTGATAAAAATTAGATGCCTGTTACCGAAGCCCTAAAGTCAATGAAGTAAAACTCAGAACGTAAACATAAAATCAGAAATGTTAAATTTGCATAAAGAAGATTAAATTAAATGTACTGGGAGATCCAAACATTGTTCACGAATGTCAGAACACGCCACGAATATTACCGTCTCTAACGGTTTTATACAGTGTGCCGTGAGTATAGAAGATACGTTTATCACGAAGCAGGCATTCGATGTATAGTAATGTAAGCAGCAAGGGGTTTCCCACAGGGCATACTTTAGGGTACCGCTTTCCGCGCAACAAATGTCCGTGTGTCAGGCAGGTGCTACCGATCCGAAGCTATGAGGCCCAGACTGACTGAGCTGAAGGAAAACCATCACACCTGCACAGATGGAAGTTTTGTCCTCAGTAGGGATCCAGTTGTATTTATAGACACATATTACAGCACAAAGAAGAGGGACGCGAAAATAACTGCCTACAGCTTCTTCAGATGTTTAATTTCCATATAAAACGGCTTCCTTGGCTGCAGCGCCGGTGGCCTCATTGCCTGGGAGGCCTGTATGGCCGGGTACCCAGGAAAAAAATCCCTATTTCCTTGTGTTATGTAGGTGAAACACTTCAAATAAAAGCTCGAGTGCAATCAGATGATCTGGCGTTTACCCGTGAAGACTACAACGCGCTTAGGGAGGCCGTGAGTAGATGACATTGTCCATATTGGTACTTAATGAAGAGAGGAGCTCGATGTACAGTATAGAGTTCCGCTGTATAAGCGCTGTTTTAACTTTTGAGGCCTTAGGAGAACATCTGATCGTCAAAGACGATCGCAAAACAAACTACTCATCAGTACCAATACACTGTGTATTCCGGATGTGCAGAAATTACTTCATGAAACAGCAGCGATAGACAAGGGAAGAGGTTACGCTTCCACATCTCAGACAAATCGAAAACCTGAGGTTGGACGCATGCTGTACCAGGGTGGAATTAGGAGCATTCTCTTAGGAATTATAATGGACAAACATACCTCACGTGTCAGTTCAGGTTAGCCTAGGTGAATGTCTGCAGGTCGAAAGGGTCTGTTGTAACCCGTTGCGCTGGGTGAATTGAACTACTACACCATAACACAGTGAATGTGGTTGTGTTGCCACTTTCAGTGCATAACTACAGAGGATTGGATTCCTCTGTAAACCACTTTGGTGTGATCAGTTTTCACTGTGGACGATGGGAGCCGAGGGTCACATTGTTCCTCATAGCATAACTGACTACAAGGGCATACTCTCCTACCGAAATGACCACAGACACTGTCACTTCACATTATACCCAGTGTCTGATAAGCCTGTCAAGTCTGATATCTGTGACTTACCTATGAAGTCTTAAAAGATATTATTTCTACCCTTCAGGAGTTGGGCATAGATGTCATTAGCAGCAAACAGGTGGCAGCCAAGCGCCCCTCACCTGCAGGTCCTGCAAATACAACTATCTTCCACTCTTGCTTGTGACTCTGGAATGATATGTGAAGTCACAGACCATTTTCACTCTGGCAGACCTTCCTAACACAGTCATAAAAGTTGGAGCTTACAAGGCCCAATATGGCCTGATCTTATGTTACAGTTTCTAGCATTTGGCTACTTCTGAATCCATGGCAAGTGGCCCCTACAATGTCTCTGGTACAGGAGCGGCCTTCACCATCAAGAATTCCCCAAGAAGGAGAACATACCGTTCTGGTAAAATGCTGCAATTGTGACATGCAACATCTAAGCTGCTATGAGGTTCTACCTGCTCCAGGAAGGAATGGCTGCAGAAGCAGCAGCATTCTTGCTCCCAGAAACCCAGTGGTTGCAGCATTGCTTCCAAACTGGTTATGATTGAGAGCAGTGATTAGTAAAGTAGCAAGTGGGGAGGACTTACACCAGGGGGCAGCAGCAGCAGTTGTGTTGTAGCGGGACCTGTGGGCCAGACTGCGAAACAGGGAAAGCCAACACCCAGCAAAAGTAGAGCTTGTGGTGATGTGGTAACCCTCATAACCAGAGTGTGACTGATCATGGTAGCTCCCAGGGCAGCAGAGACAGAATATAAATGTTTCACACTTGGTTTGAATGTTGTCTGGGGCTAATCATGATAAAATAAGGGCTTGCCTTCACTGTATGGGCAACGCATTTCGCGCCCATCTGCATGTACGTGGTCTAACAATAAAGTTCGCGAACTCATCACGTTAAAAGTGCTACATATCACGTTGCTGAATATCACTGTGGTCGCCTTCCAAGTACTCCCATTGGGAAGCTATGCGCCGATGCCAGCGCCTAGTCCACCCTTCAAAATATTTTGGAACTGTTGTTGATTTGCCTTCAGAGCTGCCATTGTATTACTCCTGATGTCATCAATACCATCATCCATAACAGCAGTAGAGGGATTGTTGGACGCGATGTTTACTGCTGAGTCCACAGTGAGGCCATGCAGTGAGGACCCCAGGCTGGCAGTTCAATTGAGTGAAGTGAAGTGGAGTGGTTGGTTTGTGAGAGATAGTTCAGTTGTCAGTTGTCAGCTGAAAGTCAGCCTGTGAAGAGAAGACTAGGAGGTTGGTTTGAAATGGCTGCCAGACTAGGATCCAGATAGTTGAGGGTTGGCAGTGCAGTGGAGTTCTGTATGGGAGGCTGTGAAGAGAAGAGTCGCAAGGGTACAGCTGTGAAAAGAAGACTGTGTGATACTTGGAGTGTGTAATTTGTTGACTGTTATAGTTCCCGTGTTAAATGTGTTGCCAGGAAACGGCTAGTGGAGACTTTCATAGACTGAGGACAATGGTCTGTTTGTGTCAGTGACGTGTAAATTGTAGCTCCAAGTGATGTGTAAAAATGTGTCGATAAATCCAATACACCAGTCCATACCCCATCACAACCCTAAAATTATGACAGTATGGTCACTGCTTCTTTCTTAAAAAATGTTGCTGGTATGCTCATGGTTTGTTATACGCAGTCTCAAAGTCAAAACATAGAATTCATCAGGAGATGTGTAACTTTTGACTTTTGATTAGTTTGCCAACAGGCATCACCTGGGTTTCCTGTAGGTACATGTGCACCAAAATGTATCAGGTCAAATAAAATACTCAATGTATTTATAAGATTATCATAATAAACAACAAATTATTTTTTATATCTTGTATGGCCACTGTCAGTAACAGTAATTTTGGTCAATGGGAATATAGTTCAAGATTTTGATTACTACTTCTTTTGCTGTTAAATTTGTGTATTATTTTCTTGCTTAGCATCTTCATAGTATTCGTTTATTTCTAGTTTTGGTTCTCTTGCTGATTGCTGGCATCTTTTAGCAATGTAAAATGGTAACTAATCATGGAAATTTAACTAACTGATAGTAGGACCCAAAAGTTCAGCAGTGCTAAAACCTGGCACTGGACAGAATTTTTAACTAATTTTACCCACTTGCCATCCTCATGACCTGTTTCCCTAAGTTTTGTCTTATTGTTATTCTTCCATTTATGATGTCCACCTCTGTTTCTAAGCAGCAGTATTCCAAGAGGTTTTTCAGCCAAAATTGTGTATGCTTTTTTTGTTCTTTTCTCACATTATAACCACCTAATTTTAATTACTCCAGATGGGCACCTAATTAAATTGTATATATGTATATTGTTTTGCTTGTTATCATCTTTATATTACGATATTTTTATTCCTTAATCTTATGCAGACTACCAGCATTTATGTAAAACAACATCTTGACATTAATTGTTAATTGAATCATATTTCACATTGTTTCCTTCCTAGGGTCTACTTGAATACTGTGTATATGTTCTAAAGAAGCCACCATATGTGTTCTGTGATTATCATGGACATTCACGCCATAAGAATGTGTTCTTATATGGATGTTCAAATTCTGATAGTTGGTGTGAAACTGATCGTTCAGTGCCTGATAATCCTGCAGATTACCTTGTAAGTATTACTATTTTAGATATGTGAGGTAAATTGTAATTATACTGACATTTATCTTTCAGCCAGAAGTATTGGCCATAAAAGTAAAAAAAATAAAGGTATCCCTGTAACAGGCCGTGGAGGCCCATAGGGTTGTGAGATGTTGAGGTTCCCATGTTTTCTAGACAGTCGACTCATAGATGCCATCAAGGTTGTCAGCCCTACGTTGCAGCCGCCCTTTACCCCCAAGAACATTCCAAGAATATTCCTGGTACTCATTTCTGTTAGAGACTGAGTCGACCCCAGGGCCATGGTGTGTGACTGGAAGTATTAGGTCAATTGAAAAATATCCAGTGACCTCATCGGGACTTGAACCCATGACCTTCTGGCTTGTAGCATAGTGCCTCAACCAACTGCGCTAGTGTGTGCCCCAGTATTAGCCATAGGGAAAGTGAAAAAGTGAGGGCAATTTTAGTTTCTCAAAAGTGATATTGGTAGTTCTGAAAGTGATGGTGCTTATACACAGTACAAGTACAAGTATGAGCCTTGTAGCTATTTAATTTTAATTTTCTTTCATCCAGTGGTATAACTTTACTCTCTTATTGTAAATTCGAAAATGTACAGTAACTGACTTGTCCTATATCATGTAACAATGATCTATAGAGATGAAATAAATAAACAGATATAACAAATTTAGCAAGGCTGCACAGTTGATAGAATGCACCAAAGAAGAACAATGATCTGCGATGTGACTTGGTCAGGCAGTATAAAAATAAGTTAATTGTTTGAAAAAATTACAGTCCAGTATGGCAATAACAGTATAAACCAGAGGTATGGATAGATTCAAAGGAGGGTAGATGATTGTTGTTGATGATGTTTTTTCTTATGGTCATCAGTTGTATATGGAGAAATAAGATATGTCTAATTACTCTTTGATTATTTTATCAAAATTTTTTAATAAAATTGCTTAGTCTGACAACTGTTAACATTGCTTGTAACCCATGCACATGTAGTTCTACAGAAAAATTTATTGTAAGTATGCATATATGCAGGGACAAGAGTCAGATATGCATACATGCTGGGACAAGAGTCAGAAATGCATACATGCAGGGACAAGAGTCAAATATGCATACATGCAGGCACAAGAGTCAGATATGCATACATGCAGGCACAAGAGTCAGATACTCTTTCTGTCAAGTTAGGCTGACTCATAATGCACAAGTTCACTTCATGAAGTGCTGTTTAGAAATATCACTGTTTATTCCCACACTGTTATGCACCATAAATCAAGGTAAGGTTGTCTTTTTGCTTAATTAATTAAGCATTATGCCATGAAGACATATGAGGGAATGGAGGTGTAACTCCTATAATGAACTGTGTTATCTTGTTTGTTTATTTAATGATCCCTTTCCAAATGCCAAAGTTATGAAGTGTTAAATAGAACATTATAAGTTGATTATGAAATTTGAATTCAGAAGATTGCGGGATGCAGTTGGTGTCACCTCCTATGATGTATGATTAAGGCATCTGAATGGAGTCTGAGGGAAACAGAGATGTCTGAGTCAGGACAACCAGTCTCCAGACCAAGATTTTAACACAGAACATACCAGATATGAAGTAGGAGTGGTAGTCACAATGCCTATACTGCAATGTTCAGTTTCTGTGTATAAAATTTTGAAAATCTTTCAATGCCAAATTCCATGTTGCTTCATTTGAAAATAAATTAATTTTTTTTTTTCGCTGAAAGTGGACACTTTGTATATATGAGAAGCTGTGACAGTTCGGTATAATGTTTTGTGGTATGGTTAAGTGCCTGATTAACTGTGTGTACTAGAACCTGAAGGTTTGAAGTCACTAATAACAAAGCCTGCCATTAGACACAATCCTGAGACTATTCCATTCACCTGCCACCTTTTTCTTAAGGTTTATATCAGTATTGTCCCATTATCCATCTTTGTCTTCCAAGTGGCTTGTTCTTAAGATATATCCTCATCAAAATTCAGTGTGGACTTTCTGTTTCTCCCTTCTGAACTGCATGTTGTACCCATTGTAAATAACATTCTGTGGCTGTTGCAGACAGGTACACTAATGTAAGTGAATGAGTTAGGGAGTCAGTCTAGTGATTGGTTATGGTCTGATAGCTGGACATTGATTTGTGCCAGGGGCATGGATTTTCTATTTGCCACCACATTCAGACTGGCTGTGGTGCTTATCCATTGGGTACTGGGGGTTCTTTCCCTGGAGCTACAGCAGGCAGGGCATGAAGCCGAACACTCACCTCCATCTAGTGTGGAGATACATCACTGCCCCCCTCTTAATATGTCTTAATATCATAGTACAGTATGCACCAAAAAATCAGTAATGAAACTCACGCATCTCAAACGCGCATGTATGTTTGGTGACAGTGCATAGCTCCAGCCGCACATGTTCCCAGTAGTGAAAAGGAAGTTGTGTTGTGCAGTTGTTGTTGGAAATGGATCTCTCGACGGAGGAAAAAGTATTCATAGTTGAGTATTATTTCCGCTCATATGCAAGTAGTTGCCAGACAACTCGCTTCCGTGGTTTTGAGCAGCCAGATGTTATCGTCCGGAAACCGCTACATAGCACACGTGTAACAATATGGTGTGCTGTCTCAGCACATGGTATAGTAGGCCCCTATTTGATTGAGGATGCAGAAGGCAAGGCTCTTACCGTCACCCAAAAACGTTACAGGGACATGGTGATCGGACCATTTCTTCAGGATTTGAGAAGGTTCTGTCATGCAAGGGGCCTTCACATGAATAGACAGTGGTATCAACAGGACATCTTTTCATTTCAGTACTGTATATTTGATGCATACTGTACTAATTAAAAAGGGACAACTTTATTTTTTTACTGATGAAGTCTGTAATTTCATCAAATAGCAATTCTGAATAAAATTAAATAGTGCTCTTCTGGGTTGTGGCACAGTGCAGTCTGGTATGGGGTTACTGCTCCTGCCCTGAAGTTCAGGGCAGCCTTTCCCTACCAAATGCTGGTAAATACCAACCAGACTACACAGATATTCAACCCAGAATGCCACAGTCTAAATCTTCACTGCCTTGAAAACATAAGATCTCATACTGAATACAAATTCATTAGATATGAAGTCAAAGAACACACCAGTGCTCACTAAAGATAATGAAACTCTAGGGCCTGATAATACTCCTTCTATGGTTCAAAACATTCAATAAATAATGGGTCATGGCATGTTTATTCTGTTTTGCTTAGCATGATGTCAAGATTAAATAAAGGCATAACTAGATCCATGGGGCATAATCATTCTTAAGATGCCAATAATTGCTTAGCTGATCAATAAATTCCTACAAGAGTCCGAATGTTATTACCATGCTCACAAAATCTCATCACTGGATCCTATCCTGAATCAACTGAATTCAATTTACATTCTCACATGAATCTCAAAAATGTATGTATTTTAATGTAACCATCCCACCTGTGCATATTTTTGCAGTGATCTCTTCCTACCAGTTATTTCAATAATTTTTGTTTATATTTCTATAATTTTCCAAAATTTTCCCACATGTTAATACACTTGGACAAATTAAAAAGTCATATGTGTCCTACCTGTCTCCTTCACCCTAAGAACATGTGACAAAGAATACAAAGAACTGAAAATCATGATCACATACAGCCTAAGGCAAATATGTGGGATTGACATTTTGTGAACTTGTGTCTTGCAGCTTCTTCCTCAGCTGATGCAGCATTTCTCCCCAGCATTTGCTCTGCAACTCTGCAGCTTCAGCATTGAACGTGGACGGGAGTCAACAGCTCGAGTTACCCTGTGGCGCGAATTTGGTATCAAAAGGAGTTATACAATGGAGAGCAGCTACTGTGGCTTTGATCAGGGACTGTATGAGGTAATGACCCAAACATTGTGAAGAAATAAGGTATTTAAGAGACAAAAAAAATGAGAATCACCATGACAGTACTGTCTGATAGAAGATTTATGTTGTATTAGCAGTGTTGGGGAGCTGGGTTTGCATAGTTAGAGACTGGCTGCAGGCTGGACAACCGAGGGATCAGAGTTCGAGTCCCAGTACGGTCAAGAATTTTCTGTTCTCCACATCATCCAGACCAGCTCTGGGGCCCACCCAGCGTCTTATCCAATGGGTACCAGGGGCTCTTCCCCCGGGTGTAAAGTTGCAGGGGTGTGAAGCTGACCACTCACCTCCAGCTAGTGCCGAGGTCAAGAAAATGTGGATCTATACATCCATTCCCCCATATGCCTTCATAGCATAGTGCTTAATTAGTTAAGCACAGGGACAACTTTACCTCAGTAGCATTGTTGAGTTACTCATTGACAGATAAGTTATTAATTATTTATAACAAGTGGATAAAAATTAACATTTTTGTTGTATATAATTTTTCTGTCCACCGTAAGGCTTTAGTGATAAAATTCCCTTACAGATGTGTGTGTGTGTGTGTGTGTGTGCGCGCGTGTGTGTGTGCGCACGCGCATGCGCATGTGTGCACTTAAGAATTGGTTGATAAATCAAATCCATGCAGCACTTCTATAATTTTCAATCAGTATGGGCACCATTTTAAGAGCTTTTATGCATATGGTATGTTTCAATTGAATGTTTAGTATGAAGTTTAAATTATTGTGTTGAAACTTAAAAGTAACAATAATATATCTTTAAATTGTTTAGCATTGCAATTAAATAGGTTATTTGTATTGTCTAAACTATGTAGTAGGTAAATTTCAGCAGGCTGTGATGATCCTTCATAAAGAAAACCAACAGTGACCCCATAACAAAGGCCAGAGATGTGAAGCCTTAGTTTGCTACATAAATGTTGTATTGTATGAAGAGTTCTATCTTTTGGGATGTATCTCCATATAGTCCATTGAAAGTCAATCTATGATTCAGTGGAACATGTTGCTTTCATCTTCAGGGTCAAAGAATAGGCCAATCAAAAAACCACCATGAAATAGGTAGCAAGCAGAGCTACCTTGCTGTCTGCTTCATGCTGGTTTCTCATTTGTCTTTTCCCAACCCAAAAGATGGAGGTGACATGTTCCTCCAAAAGATGAGTTGGCTTTCAGGGGACTACATGGTGTTATATCAGAGAAGATTAGACCCTTCCCACACATTAAGTTTTGAACTTCACTTCGAATTTTGCATGGATATGACAATGATGTTATTGATGGTAGGAAATTCAAAAGTACAAAAGGGGAACAGGCCTATGCTACCATGCTATTCATACCAAATTTCATGAAAATCTGTCAGTTGATTAAAAATTTAATAAAAGCCAGCAGAAATATGGACAAAATGTCATAGGTCTCTCTTTCTGATAAAATAGAATGTGTTCATTAAATATGAAATTAGTGAATAAAACAGACACACTTTTTTTTTTTTCCAAATTTCTGAGTTTTGTTATGTACTTTGTTCATTCTCATAAATAGTATTGGAAGAAAATATTTATGTCCTTGCCCTAAAGTGGACAGTTACTTTTCAGGGACACCATGTGGACATAATACGCTTGAAGGAAATTGGAGAACATTTCTGTGATGCACTCGCCTGTCTGCACAATGAGCCCTACTGGAGAACAGATGTCATTCCATTCAGTGCAGGATCATTAAGGTTACTAAAAATGTATCTAATTCTCTGACACTAGAATTTAGTGATTCAGCACCTCTAATACCAAAGCCCCTTAGCCAATTCCATTCACGTTCCTTCAGCACAACCAATTTTCACCATTCTACTTTTCCATTGTCCAAGTGGTTGCCTTCCGACAGGTTTCTAGCAGCCAGATTTCTGTATGCAGAATGTGTTAATGCCTGATAATTGTTTTTAGGCTTGATCTCCAAGGAGGACTTCCACAATCTGTCCTTGAAGTCAGTGAGTCAGAGCGAAGTGACTGCAGTGAATGCGAAGAACACTGTTGATGTGTATGGAGAGATGGTTACATGAATTCATGTATGTTGCTGCACTGAGAACTGAGACAATTTCAGTATTTTCAGTAGAGTGATACCAATAAACATTTATGTTTCAAATACAGAGCTTTATTTCATAATATTATAAAATAGTAAAAAGTCACTAACATGTACATTTCTAATATTCATGAAATCTCCATGTTACAGTTTCAGTAATACCAGAATATTTGAAAGGTTTATTAGTAATTACTACAATAATAGTATTAAACAAACGGAAGTGAATTGTGCAATTGTATTTAAAGATATATGCTATATATATATATGTATAAATAAAATGAATTATTCTTACAGTAAGCAAAGCTTTTCATATCCAACAACCTTTATGTTAACATAAGTTTGTAAGTTGAGAATAAATCATATAGAGTAATGGATTTATAGGCAAAGACTCTCATATAATGCTGTCAGAAGAGAGACTGAAGGAATACATTGAAGGACATTGCCATCCTTTCACTTGCTGCTTAGGGTAGTGTGACTTCCTTCCATTTCCTTCCCTCTTTCTTTTATGCAACTTTTATGCAGGCATTTACCCTGAGTTCTTGAACAGCATGCATGTCAGTTGCATGGTTAGTTCACACATTTAAGAGAGAGGAGGAAAGATCAGCAAAAGTGTGCAAGAAGAATGAAGGTATTAGGAGGAATGAGAAACACTTTATTTGATGGCAGAAAGAACATCACTTTTTATTTAAATAGTAACAAGTAGTGGCTTGAGACAGGGGTAATACAATTTTTATTTTTTGACTGTAAATGTATAATAACCAATCATATTAGAGCTTAGCTTCAGTCACTATGAAACTACAGTGGGTGACAGTCATTTGTTGATCAAGTGCACTGTTGCATGTTTCACTTGCAATTTTTGTTCCACTGGTATAGTGTTCCTGGGTGTACTCTTGCATGTAGTCGGGCCACTTTAGCTTGCGCCCATGCATATTGCTGCACAACACCTTTCTGCTGGTACTGGTACATACTTTATCACATGCAGGCAGTGCCAGGTATCATCAGGACTGTAATAGGTAGCACATCAGCCTATTATTCAGAATATCCTGAATTTGTTCCCAGCCATCACCTCTAACTTTACAACAGCTCCATCCAACATAAAACTTGTGTAGTGATTGAATAATACCATACCTGTATGGAATCATGTGTGCAATGTAATGGTGTAATTATGAATTTACTTGGCAGTGCTTTGTAAATGGAATATGAACCTGTGTCATTAAACTGAAGGTAGTTAAATTCATGAAGACATGAAATTATTATTACATCCACTACATTTAGTATTATTTTACATATGACTGTGATTCAATACAAACTAGTAGACATAGTTCAAATGTTATAGATTGCGGCATTTATAGTAACCTGTAAGCTTTAAGAGAGTTTGGTGAACAAGAGCCATTTTTATACAAAATTGTGCACCCAGTCGAGGTACTTACTGTTTTTTTATTATTATTATTATTATTATTTGGCAGAAAGGAATACAAATGGTATTAGGCTGAAGAGCCCATTTTGCTGGCAAATACAGTTTTAGAATACTCTCTAGTCATTCTAGTATAAAATCAAGGCTTTAACTTCAAACTATCCTTAAAGTAGTTATATTTTTTTATTAACACTGTTGATAAATCGTGCTATGAAGATCAGTGCTTCTGGTAGCATACAGTGCAGGATGCCTTCACTACAATATGGTGGAAATATTTTACATTTCATTAAGTCATCTATCATATGCGCTTTAAATTCCTAGAATAATTTACACTGCCATAGGATGTGGTCTATAGTTTCTTTGACTTTGCCACATTAACATATTTCTGTATTAATGATATTAAATCGAATAAGGCACTCTTTTAGACAATGATGGCCACTTCTCATTCTATTTATTGATATGATAGATTTTCTTCAAAACTTGAATCTCTGGAAACAAGGTTTTTTGTTGTTTTGGTAGTAGCACTCAAAAGTACTTCCTTTTAGTTTTCCTGATTCTATATACTATTCCTCAGCTGCTACTCTCGGTTTGGTCTCTGAATAGGTCTTCAAGTCTGTGACAGGAATCAAGTATTGAGCATCTTCACCTTTCCAAATATTCTCCTTTGCCAACACATCTGCTATTTCATTGAGGACAATACCCATATGTGCTGGGATCCATACATATTTAATATCCATTTTATGTTTCTTCAGTGCCTATAGTTCTTCCTTTATCTTGAGGATTAATATTGAGTATTTTCTTTTCTGTTAGAAATCTCTCATTAGGGCACATGAGTACACTTCTAGAGTCGGAACATATGTAAATTTATTCTCCATGGGATTCACTAATTATCTCTCAAGTTTTCAAAACAGCCATTGCCTCTCCTGTAAATATTGATGTCCAGGTACTGTCATACATGAGAAGCCCACAAATTCCTGGTTACACATTTTTCAGCCATCAGTAAAGTAACATATAGACTCCTTTCTAGATCTTTAATTTTTTCATTGAGTCTGTTACTGCCATAGGGGCTCGCCTTGGCTTCTTCACCCTCCTTGAATGAAATGCTTCCCTTAACAAACAGAGTCTGATAGGGAGAGATGACCAACCTGTTCTATGCCCACATAGCAAGTGAAGATCCAAGGGACCCTTCCTCTGAGTACCTTCATAGGGTCCTCTTGAACCCTTGCCATTTGTTGCAATGATGGTATTACTGGGGGATCGGTGTCATTAAGAGCCCTGCTTATGTAATTGCAGCCTAGGAATTTTAATCAGAATGTTATTGGAGTATTTTAGCCTATGCTAGCATAACATTCTTGGGTGTCTTCCTCATATAGCCAAAGGCTAGTCTAATGCCTTTGCACTGCATTCTTTCTAGCAAAGTCATCTGTGGTCATCTGACCTCCAGTTAGGGAGTGAAACAGAAAACCCCATATATTCGATGAGAGCGACCTGCTTAGAACTGTAAGTTTTCAAGCGCCTCCTGCCATCTTTCTCTAACAACCCTAACTACCGCTAACTACTTTATGCTGCGAATGTGGTTGGTCACGGTCGTCACGGTTAATCATTTCTCTGCTTAATTAGTCCTTGGCCAACTGTGCGGTAGTGAACTGTGGCGTCTGTATCCCGTCACAAAGGAGGCCGTGAGCGCCATGAGAACCGTGAGCTTAGTGGATTAATGTTATTTCCTGAAGCCGTTTATGCGTTATGAGCGTTATGATTATGTGGTGTTAATGTTCAACTTTAGTACGTTGTTATGGTTGTTGGCCGATTTGAATCTGGTTTTCGTGAAATTTGAATAATTAGTTTATGTTTAAACAGTGTATGTTTGACTACATACCAAATTTGTGTCATATAAATGGGGTTAGTTGCTCGTCGAATGGAACTTCTTGTCGGATAGAAAGAAAGCCGGTAAGGAATAACCCGTATGCGCAAAATTACCATACACGGCACTCAGTGCTCAGCGCCAGACAAAAAAGTCGTTAGGAATTCAGTTTTAACACCTTGCATTTAAGATTGGCTGTTTTCTAACGAATGACAGGTACAGTAGTTAAATGTTCCTACAATGCGCGAGAAAAATGCGTCTCGAGGTTCTCACAGACCTCGGGCTTCTTGAGTGTGACGCCGTGTAATTTGGTAGCTGTGTACCAGTGACTCGAAAAGCGGGAACGTGCCGGAGGTGCCAGTGGGTGGACCGGGTGGATTGCTCAGAAAATGGAGGGAACAAGTTACTCTGAAAAGGTGGTCACTATTTACCAGAATAAACGGCGTCACATTACGAAATATGCCAGCCGTAACATGTGAGAAATTTTCTTTGTGTTCTCTGAATGGCATAGGGAGTTAAGATTTGTAAATTAACTTAAAGTTAAGACAGGGTTTGATCATCACCACCCATGTAGTAGGATTGAGTTGGAACAAGGTATGTGACAAAAAGAGGATAGTAACTACTTGAAACATAATTGGTTTTTCCTCCCGCAGGCATGAGCATTTTCTAACAGATATGAATCAAATTTTAGGTTAAATTACAGTATCACCACTTTTGTATGAAAATTATGCAATGTGTATTTGTGCCATGATAGTTCTTGTTTATCCTGATTCATGAGAAGTGTGCCTTCATTCCCATCTGGCTTGAGTAGTCATTTGTATAATCATTAGATTTATTATTTATCAGTGCATAACCTTGCAGTTAATGTTACATTTGTAAGATTCATTGACATTATGTTGTGTGATATTTTGAACATGTATGCTAGTGAAATATGTTGTATTAGTACTTACAAATACCAACATTTTTATTTTATTTCCCTCCCCCAAATCCCTTCAGCAAAACATAATTACTTAACAGCAGTTTGTGGTTGGATGGGTGTAACATTCCACATTTTCGTTTTGGAGGTCCTGGATTCAAATTGTAACCAAGAGAACAGCATGATAGTTTTATTGTGGTTTTTCTTCAGCCCCTCCATTTAAATTCAAGGATAGTAAGTTAAAATTGACTGCACCCACTTTCTCAATTGTCTCCCCCCCAGTTCAGTCATTTTATAACATTATGCCATCTAGCTTGTGCAGTTGGAAATATATCATGAAATAGCTCAATAATCAATCGGAACATATGAGCATGACCCCGGAGATACTACTTAAATCTGCTAGCCACTTGAAGCCCACTAACCCCTACCTTTAGACTTGAACTAAACTTGTGCTTGCCACTGACCAGTTAACTTGCCTCTGGCATCTGAACTGGTTCAGTTTGGAGATCTGTTTGCATATATGAGAAATTCAAAGTACAGTTCTAATTTCACTCCAGTATTATTTCATGTTAGTAGATGTGCTTACATTTGTATCTTTTAAATGTTTATATATGAGGGTTGTTCACATGAAACCAGTTTGGGGATTATTCTGTGCAGAGGAGTAAAGGCTGTCAGAAATAGGCTCTAGGGGGATTGGGGCAGTCATCTGATTGATGGCCAGTAAGTGAATCTTCTCTGCAAAGAACTAATTGGGCTGCTGCTGGAACCATTTCAGTTCCACAGCCTTGACATCTTCATCTGACCCATGGAGTTATTCACATGAAATCTGTCAACATGTTCAGCCATATTTTACACACTCAAGAAAGTGAGTAAAGTTTATAGATTCAAGTTAGATGAAGATGTCAAGGTCACAGTGGTCTCAGCAGCAGCAGCAGCAGCCGGACATATTCATGGAGGGAGTCCATTGGAAGGTGCATCAGTGGTAAGCTGGCCTCAGCACCCATGTGGATTGTTTTTAATGGCTTCTACCTCACCCAGAACAATCCCTGAGTGGCTTTCAGTCTAGAAGCTGTCATACCTCTTTAATTTTTCTAAATCAGAATTACAGCTTTGCTCAGTCTGCTTTATAGATTTATTCGTAGTTTAAGGAGGAGGTGGAATAACTCAGGTAGTACATCTATATGCTCTGGACTGGCTGTGGTTCGATTTCAGTCAGGGGTAAGGGATTTTTCTACTTCACAACATCTAGACCAGCTCTTCAGCCCAATCAATCAAGTGCCTAATTGGTATTGGGGCTAAAACAGCCAGGTCATGAAGCTGACTACTCACCTTCAGCAAGTTCTGAGTTCAAGAATGGTGGAGCTAACCTTCACGCCCTCATGTCTTAATGGCATTGTATTTAATTAAAAATTCAAATAACTTTGCCTTTTATAAGTTGTAATTTAAGAATGAGTTGATTAAGCCTTACACATACTTGATTCTATGTAGAGATTTGATAATAACACATTAATTCTTTCCCTGACATTGATATGAAATCATGCCACTGCTCAGCAAGCCATCTTCCAGCCTTTGTGTGGCTTGATGCCAAGAGTGCAGGGTTGTTTTCCAAACATTCTTGACATCTCTAGAATGGTATTTTAGCTGTAGGAACCAGGGAATAAAAAAAAAATCATTGTATGTGAAATTGAAGTTTCATTCAGATTTCATTTGATGATAAATTCTTTCTAAAGGGTTCTGACGATGGTGAATGACACAGAATTATTGGTTTTTGGACTTTTCCCATCATCCGGAATTCTAGGTAATAAGAGGACACAACGTTTCGGAAACTGGTGAAGACGGAAACAGATCCAGTTTCTGAGATGTCGTGTCCTCTGTTACCTAGAATTCTGGATGATGGAAAAAGTCCAAAAACCCAATAATTCTGTGAGTAAATTCTTTATTGAAGTAAGCTACCAAGATAAGGTGGTATCCAAATTCCCAGTGCTCAGGGGAAGAGTTAAAATTGAGAAAACAGAGAAAGGATCTGTACCTATGGTTTTTATTTTCTCAGGGTTAATGGAACAACAAATAAAGAAATTAAATGGTATACATTATCATTCTGGTGAAACAGTAAGACTGGAGATTACATTTAATAATTATGTGAATTGAATAAATGATGCTTCAGAAATGGCCAAAACTGAAAGTTGTAATAATGGATGTTGAATATGGAACATTAATGGTGTATAAGGCATTAACTAGCAGGAAGTAGATTATTTTCAAAATCATATGGCTTGTGAAATAATGAACCAGTAATAAAAATTGGATCAAGCATGTTGCCTAGTATGCCTTTAATTTCTACACCGTATAAAGAACTTCAAAATGTGTTAGAAATGGAAATCTCACCAGAGTCTAGATCCCCACATCACCGTTCATCTTCTATGCCACCACAGTCTCAGGAAGTTCTTACTATAACACAAAGTTGCCTTGGTCTTGAAGTTAATCATGAGAAGGAAGGCCAGGGTCACAACACATCCAAAGCTTTAGACTTGAGTGCAACAGCAAATATTTCTTCAAAGAAGTCATCACCATTAAAACATGTTACACCAATCCTTAAGAAATACAACACTCATCGCAAAGGAAAAGGAACCAAAAAGCTTTCTTTAATTAGCAAAGGAGCCATTAGTGATCAGGTAAGATAAATTGTTTCACAGTCCCTCCAAGCTAATCCCAGGATGTTACCTTAAACTGTGGCATGACTGCTTCTGTCCACAGCCTTTCCTATCCACTATTGACCATCATTCTATCATTCAATGCTTAATAGTCTTGAGTCTCTGATAATGTAATTAAACAAATGCATTGAAAAAGTCAGATAAGTTGTGAATTTTGTAAGTGAACAATTATGAATTAATTTTTGCTATAAAGAAATTGGGCTGATGATAACTGGTTGGATAAGAATACAAAAATTATAAAGTAATGAAATTTGTTTTACAGGTGAGAAAAAAAAATAGTATTTGTAAGTCTCATATCATTTGGAAATGTTTAAAGTACTTGAGAACAGCAATGAATTAAAATCTTTTTTGCTGGAATATTCCTTTTATTCTGTAGATGAATTTATGTCTTTTGATTCATCAAGTGTGTAAATGTAATATGTAGTTGATCAATTTGTTGTATTTTCTGTAAAGACAATGAAATTAATGGTAATTAGATCTAGATGATAATAATATTCAGATGACGAACCCCCTATATTAGGGTGGTACAGTGTATTCTGTAAAGATACGCACAAGAATCTGACAATTTCCCTGTCCAAATGGTTGTAATATCTGTTTTATGGATTGTTGAATGATAATAAAAATGAAATGAAATGAAAAAATCCAAGTGAAGTTCAGAACTAAATTAGGATAATAGTGGATTTAAGATATGGTTTCAATTATCTATTTCAAAACTTATTATCCAATCTACTTTCCAAAGAAGTAACAGTGATTTCTGAGTGGAATTCATGAAGCTTGTTTTCCTGTTGCACATACTTGGCAGTCCTAGAAGTCATGTGTTATTAATGATACACGTATATGTTTAGGTAATGTAAGTTTACGTATAATCCAAAAGTGACTTGCAATTTAGACCTTGGATTAGCATGCTGGACTCATGCAGAGATGGCCATATGATAAAGTCCTAGCCCGAATATTTTTTATTTGCTTCTGTAAATATGTTACAGGCTTTATCATCATCATCATCATCATCTAGCTGGGCAAAATCTAACTGTGTACATGACTTCTCCCGTTAAATTTTTGGGACACCACTGCCGTGTTTGGAATTCTTACCTTATAAACAGTATTTTGTACCAAACTTGTAGGTGTGTTTATGGTATCATTCCATACCAAATTTCACATGTCTTGCTCCAGTGTTTCATTAGTTATGCTTATAAAACCGAAAGCTAAATATAAATTTCATGCTACTGCCATTTTTTACATTCCACAAAAGCTGCCTTCATAAAACTTGCACATTTGTTGAAGATGTAGTACTGTACAGAATTTCAGGACCATGGATTAAATATCTTAATGTCACTCTCACCTCACAAGTTTGTGTGTCCCTTGTATTATTATTATTACCAATTTTAGAAAATAAACATGGATGAGGTTGAGGTGTTCTCTAGTGGCATGGCAGTCATGAAATTTTCATAGAACCGAGTGGTTGATTAAGAAACTGGAAAGTGGCACTGTATGCAGACACCATGGTGATCTCATACGCCTGTTTTCTCTTATGAAGATAAATAGTCTAAAAATGAAGAAGGTTTTGGGGTATTGAGACTAGGCTATAGTCTGACCATTGAGGAATCGGTTCAATTCCAGGCAGGGACAAGAGATTTTTCTTTGCCCCATAGTGTCCAGATCAGTTTTTGTGGGCACTTAAACCTGTCCAATGGGTACAAAGAGTTGTTACCCAGGAGGTAAAGTGGCTGGGTTATGAAGGTGACTGCTCCTCATGTTTCTTCATTGCACAGTGTTTAGTTAAGCACTGTGTATGTGTGCTTGCACACACGAACAGTAATTTTGACAGTGGAAATATGGTTATCAAAAGTGGTCTCTATGTGCAGGGAACATGAGTCACAAGTGTCTGAAAGTAAAGTGTACAGGAAAATATTTATATCTAGGAGGATTGAAATATGCTGGACATGATATTGGGTAGCAAAGACCCGTGTGATTCACAAACGGTAGTGAAATCAGGGAGGTTGTTGTGGACTGGGAATGTAGTTCAGGTTGGGAGATAGGAAATACGTGTATGTACGGATTATCAGCAAGGAAACCATTTTGAAATCAGTAAACTTGATGGATTGAGCAAATGAGAAGGTAACATTAAGATAGGTGGTAGGGAGATTGACTGTGAGCGTTGAAAGTGGATGCTATTGGCTTGAAGTATCTCAAGGAGGACTCTGTTTCATGGAGTTAATTAGTTACTCACAAAGATACACCAGCATTTTTGGCATGCAAGATTGTTTCATGCACCTTTTGTATATACCGTATTACTTTGTATTTGTATTTATTTTCATCCATTTTTGCTACATAGTAACACTTGGACAAGTCATTCGGCAGTACAGGTTAACAAACAAATCTACAAAGTTACAAGCATACTACCAACATTTGTTACAATCATAAGCAATATATATATAAATACAACATTTCAAAAAAATACACAAAGTACTATATACAGCTCATGAATGGCTATGACAGCCAAACATAAATACTTGCACCATCCACTTTTTTATTAAAACTAACAAATTCATTTATCGTATAGAAAGAATGTTTCAATTAAAAGGATTTTAAGTCTTTTTAAAAGCTAAAAAACCCGAGTTTTTTTGTTTTGTTTGGCACCTTACTATACAGTTCTCTCCCCATATTTATCACGCTTTTTTTAAATAATGTAGTTCTGCAGAATTGAACATGAAAATCCTTTGAATATAAGACACCTTAGACTTTAAGATGCATAAAATTTCTAGATGAGGGTTTTAGAAAATAATTAGAAAGGAGCATTTGTTTCAGTGAGTTTATTTAGAACAGTTTGATTAAAATAACAAAATATTTAAAACACATTTAAAATGAAAAGTAATGGAAAATATACCAGAATGAAGTGAAAATTTTCACATTTTCACATTTGCACATTCCTTTCTAATCAGAAAGTTCATCCACTGTTCCTTCAGACACACTTTAATTTTCTGAAGATGATGCACCCACGCCACACTGCTTGCTGTTGCTCCAAAGAATGTCATCTTGCATTCCATCTTCTGCAATAGACAAACAGCATTTTAAAAACGATTTTGGAATCATACTGACTGGCACTTCTTTCAGAGTTTTTGATATACACTCCCCTTTTACTGACACTGATGCTCTTTTTATTTTGCCACTAGGTGTCAATATATGATTATCTTTATTCAGCCATACATCATAGTGTTTACAAACAGGGTGCTTAAATATTTTGTTAATTGACACATCAAATGGTTATAACTGACTTGTCATGATCTTAGGAATTGTCACTATATTGGTGTTTTTGTTCCTTAACCTCTTTCTGTTAATTTTGGAGAGATAACCACGAAATGCACCCATTGCAAGCATACTCCATGGCTATAAATAATGCACCAGGCTGACGTTCCCATTCATATCCAAATTAGTCTTCAAATAACTCTGATGTCATCTATGCATTTTTGTATGGGTGGGGGAACTATTACATCTTTGCAAAAATTTTCTTTTGGCACTGACTTTCTGTTTAATGTTACATATTGTGGTAATTTATTGCCATTTGTGGTTACACACGGCATGACAGTTAACACTTAACTTTTCGTAGCCTTTGAGCAGACATGTCACAGTATGCATATGATCTGTTTTATTCACTTTGATGTCTAGGAACTGCCCTGTAAAATATGGCATGTAATAATGAGACATTATATACATACTGCCTAGAACTTGTTTTCCACTGATTGAGCATAGATCTTTCTATCGGCTCCAACTGAGTGAAATCCTTCTGTTCTGATGTCTGATGGTGAAAGTGGATCAAGTATCCGAAACATTTTCTCTATTAAAATTTGCTCCAGCCAATGGACAGTGTCCATCATAATATTCTTTTAATTTTTTTAATGTGTTTATTTTATTTTGCTTCAAAAAGGGAATGTTGTTTTCATAATTTTTAAGGTTTCTTTAAGTCAGAAAAGCCTGAAAAGTGTTCCACCTCTGCCTTTGTCATAGTTGATGCCATGACTGTTTTGCGTAGATGAAGAACACATTGTATATGTGTATGTGTGCAGAGTTGCAGAAACAAGTGGAAGTGAAACTCTTCAAAGCTTTGTCCATTAAATGCTCTAACATTGTGCTAAACAGGATTTTGGGTTTATAGTTTTTGGATACAATATATTTTAACAAACAGCATTACATACCAGTGAGATAACCAAAGAGATTTAAAGAACTTTCACTGTTATGCTTTGTGAACTGCAGTGAAATGTGTAGAAACATTAAAGTTCAAAATGTCACTGCCTGTTGGTTGAGAAACACTGTCATAACTTGCCTCATTAAAAGCAAATTTCTTTTGTAGCTACAACTGCAGCAAGGTACTGAGAAACAGTTTCTGCATCCCATCGCACCAAGACCTGTAAAGGCCATGCTTTCATCATCACAGCAAGATCAGCAGAATGGGAACCCACGCTTAGATCAAGTTATGCAGAAACATGTGTGAGATATCATTACACTATGAGAGGAGAAATAATACTATGACAGTATTACAGCTTTATTTAAACATGCCTTTATATGTGTTAACTGCATAGAGGGGTTAATTCTCCAAAGCGCTTTTCCTTTGCTGTGAATTATGATGCAGAGTTCAGTTTTCATTTCTTGTAGTTGTGTAATTGCTACTCAGTGAGCAGTTTTGTTGCTGTCACTTAAAACCCTTTGAGTGCTAACATCCCTGTGGATGGATACGCGAAAAGTGCTATGCAATTTAAATAATAATACATGCATATTTATAATAAATTCTACTCACCCCATTTTTGGAGTCAGGAAACTGAAAAAATTCCCTCTTGTTTCCAGATGAATGTATATTGTATGTATTTTCAACAGAATGCAGAAAGATTTACTTCTTAATTGAGGAACTAAGGTCAGTTCCTCTCTTCTTTTCGTGTTCTGTCAGAAGTATTGTTCTTAAAACTTCGCGGTAGCTGTGCTTATTACAGATATTAAATTAAAAATGGAATTGCTTTGTGGGTCTCAGTTTCACAAATACAGAAGCCTCAGATGTAACTAGGCATAATTCAAAGCAGGGACAGAGCCTCTTATTTTGAATTGAAATTAATATTATTGCAGCCGCTAACTCATGCCAGTAAAATCTGGTAGCATACTACTCATTGGGAGCTAGGATAGCTCAGTCAGTATAGTGATGGACGACAGGCTGGACGGCCAAGATTCAGTTCCTGGCAGGAATAGGAGATTTTTGCTCTACTCCACAGCATCCAGACTGGCTCTGGGGCCCACCCATCCTCATATCCAGTGGGTACTGAGGGCTCTTTCTCCAGGGGTTAAAGAGGCCGGAGCGTGGAGCTTATACCACCATTTCCCCATATGTCTTCATGACATAGTGCTTAATTAATTAAACACAGACACAACTTTACCTCGTACTCATAACAACATTTCTGCATTCTGTGTTATTTAACATGAACATGTAACCCCCATGGTAGGTTGAGAGTCAGCCTGGTAACTATTATTTGATGATGTGCTAACAAAACGGGAGTTCCTCTGATTTTTAATAATGTTCTTGTCAGACTGTTTTGAGAGACAATGAAGGTACAGAAATTCTTGGTGTATCCATGTAGTTCTCAAGGATGTGTAGAAAATTAAAAACACTTTTAAATTCTGCATCTAAGCCTGAAATGGTTTAATTTATTACAGATCTGTAATAAGAATAGTAGCTCAGGGCAACATAAGTGGCTATGAGCTGGACAACCAGAATTTAATTCCTTGCAGAGTTTTTGTTTGTCTTAGTATTCAGACCAGCTCTGGGACCCAACTGGCTCCCCATCCAGTGACTGTTTCTATAGTGTCAAAGTTGTTAAGCTGGAAACTGACCACTTATTGCCTTCTACTGCTGAGCTCTAGAATGCATAGAACTTCCCCAGTATGTGCCTTCATGGCATGTAGTAGAGGCTCAGAGTCAGCTTCACCTTATTGTAATGAAGTTCCGTGTCACGGCTCATTTTCTTTAACTGATGCATATTTATTATCATGTATGAAACTTGAGGCTATTTATGTATAAAGTACTGAGGAGAACACTTTTGTCTGTGAACGAGGAAATAAGTGGATGACAGGAAAAATCATAAATGTGAAATTAATAATTTTTACTCTTCACCAATATCTTTTTCGTGGTTTTTCTCTGCCCTCACATAAATACCCACTTCTTTGTTAGCACTTCTTCTAACTCTCTTTTGTATATGGTGAAGTCAAAACTGCATCAGTTTTTTCCTCACGTGGACTTAGCGGATTACTGCCAGCAGACCTTGTATATGCCTTTTCTTGTGACGGTGACCTCTGCTGACTTGAACCTACATCCCTTCAAGAGAGCTCTAATTCTTGGGAGCAAGTAATTATCAGCAGGGTTTAAATTTGGGGATTGGGGAGATTGTGGGAGCACCATGATACCATTCTTGTTCTGGTGCATTGTCAGGTTATGTTTATCCAGCTGTCAGATTCCTGGAGATTAATGCATGTATGACATAACTTCTCATAGACAATGAAAAATGTGCCTGTACATTACTTTGTACAGGGAGTTCAAATAGGAAGATAATATAGCAGCGTGATGAATATAGTGGATGTTTTATCTGCAGTGTTATTGGGCAACTTGTCAGTATGATGTCATTTGTCATAGAAGGTTCTGCTGGCCTAGATTTCTCTGTCATAGGGTCTGAATTTGTTACTCTTGCAAAAAAGTATGTGAATCAACAACACATTTTCATAACCAAACCCTTCACAAGAAAGAAAAAAAAAAGGTGTTACAATCACTCATAAATACCTACAAGAACAAGCACACACAAAATAATGTAGTGAAGCTTATCAGAAAGTGCTGAATTATGGGTTCAGTTTGTAACAAAAAGAAAAATTCCAGGAGGAATGTGTTAAAAAGGTAAAGTTGTCCCTGATCATAACTAATTAAGCATTGCATCATGAAGGTGTATGGGGGGAGTGGATGTATAGATCCACATGTTCTTGACTTTGCCACCAGCTGGTGGTGAGTGGTCAGCTTCATGCCTCAGCCACTTTACCCCTTGGGATAGAGCCCCTGGTACACATTGGATAGGAGGTTGGATGGACCCCAGAGCAGATCTGGATGATGTGGAGAAGAGAAAATTCTTGACCCCGCTGGGACTTGAACTCCAACCCCTCAGTCGTCCAGTCCGTAGCCAGTCGCTTTACTGACTGCTCTGTCCCAGCTCAATAAGAAATTTGTCTTTCAGCTAAGTGTGAATTGAAGTCAGTATGTGAATGATGTATTAAATTCCTTTAGAGTGTGACAGGACTTGTTTACATGCTGCAAAGCGTTCTGTGCTTCATCAGTTGTTTGCAGCTCTCTTGGAATACCTTTCAAATACAGAAGTGGTCTTATTCCAAAGTGCAGCAGGCTTACCTTACTGCAGGTCATCCTCCAGCCACTCAAGAAAACTATGTTTGTGCCACACACACATGTATATGTATATATATAACCACCCTCACCTGGTCTTACCGTCAAATTGTTGGTGTCTCTAATGAATATTTGACATCTTCATTTCTGACAAAGGAGTCTCATTATTGCCCATGTGTAGAGTGTGCGCTAGATCTGCTCTTGTGTAGAACACGAAAGTGGAATAGCCCCCATTACTCCTCTCCCATTAACCCATCATCATAGTTGCTACATAGTCACACTGCTGTTAGGTGAGGCGCTGTAACATTATCTGGCAAATCGGATACTGTACTGTTGTGGCAGCTTTGCCCTGATGCATTGCACCATGCCAGTCCCAATTCCATTGAATCTGAGAAGTTTCCTTGCACATATGATACGCTTAAATTATAGAAACAAATCAACTACATGGTAGGAATGGTGACATTCCCCTCCCTGTTTGTTGTAGCTTTTCTCACATATTCTTTATTATGTAGTCCTCACAGTTCAGTTTTCTTTCAATCAGTTCATGGCAGGTTTACCTAATTCAGCTTGTAACACATGTCATTACTACCATATACTTAATTTCTTACCCTCTTTGTCTAGTATCACTACCTGCAGATCGTGCTTAACATGAACTGATCGTGTACTGTAATTAAAATTGACATCCATGCTCCTTCCTGGTATGCTTGCTGGACTTACTATTCAGCCATGAAGATGGAGACAGTACATTTTTTTTAAACATCAGTAAACTTCTAACAGATTACATGTTGTTATACCACTGAAGATGATACATACTATTCACAGTGTACAGTGTGCAGTACTTGAGAATACTTCAGATCCACAGGGGCATGGACTTCTCTTAACTGTGAATTTTGTCTCTGCTTCACAGGGATGAGGATGTGATGGACACGAGGGAAGATATGCCTTGTGTGAATGAAATAACAAACAGAACACAAGGTGGACATGAAGAAAATGAAGGAACTAGTCATGATGAGAAGATATCAGAAGAGAAGGATGTGTCAGCAGGACAGAAGGTTTGAATAGACGAAAATAATTCTAACATAGGAGGAGTGAGATATTTTGATGTGCATTATTTACCCTGACTTCATTTGTTTTTCTGTTTGCATGCTTGAGATACAGAAAGAATGAGTACTAATATATAAGTGTTGAGGAAGTAAGTTTCTTTGAAGAAAATAATTTAGTATACTGTAGGACAGGAGGCGTGGTAGCATAATCGGTATAGTGATTGGCTATGGGCTGGATGACTGAAGGGTCGGAGTTCTAGTCCCGGTAGTGTCAAGAATTTTCTCTTTTCCAAATCGTCCAGACCAGCTCTGGGGTTCACCCAACCTCCGATTCAGTGGGTATGGGGGGCTCTTTCCCCCGGGGGTAAAGCGGCAGGGGTGGGAAGCTGACCACTCACCTCCATCTAGTGCCGAGGTCAAGAAAATGTGGATCTATACATCCACTCCCCCATAAGCCATCATGGCGTAGTGCTTAATTTGTTGAGCACATGGACAACTTTACCTTACAGTACACGGATAGGGCATATAGAACACATGAGGAATGCAAAAAATGAATACTTAGTTTCCATTGGAAGACCTGAAATGAAGAAACTGTTTACAAGACCTAGGCATAAATGGGATGTGTATTCCAAAATTTCCCCCTCCCCCAAAGGAAAAGAAGCCCACTTGGGGGACATAGGTGTAGGAGTTGAGAATGATGTTAAAAGATGGATGCAAGTTTTTGGACTGGATTTAACTGGCTTGGGATGAGTCCTGAGATGAATATATTATTGAACATTTGGTCTGCATAATAGGTATGGAATTCCTTATTGTGGCCTCCCAGTGTTGTGACATGAGGCTTATCGGTCTATATCAACATTTCAAAGGAATATACTGCCTCCATCTTCAGGGTTGATATGAAGATGGAGGGAGTGTGTTCCTTTGCAGTGTTGGTATGCATCAGACTACACAATGTCATAACCAAGAAAACCACAACACAAAGCTTTACTGCTATGAAAACCTCAGATTTATAAAAAAATATTCCTTGATTCTGTTCTATGTTGATTTCCTGCATACATTTTGTCGCTATGATCATGTTTTATATTTGGTATTATTTGATGTCATAGTCAAGTCCTTGGTTCTTAGGCAATATGATTGGGAAGTCCCAAATATGGTTCTTTTCCCAAAGACTCAGTTAGCTATCCTGAATGAGGTTCTTCATCATCTTCTACAGCCCATCCTTGCAAATTCTGGTATAGTACTATAAAGCAGAGTGCTTTCTTCAACATTGTTCCAATTTCATCATTCACAGTTGTCCTTTTGATATGCTGCAGAATTTATGCAATTCTGAAACCACTGCTAAATAAACTATGAAACAAATGTGCATTCACTGTTAGCCTTCATCAGAATACTTCACGAGTTACTTCCCAGGACAAACGTTCTCATTGACAGTGGGATAGACCCATGACAAAGTCCGTAGAATTGATATATGTTGGTGAAAGAAACTGATGTCTTATTTTAAATCTTTTTGTTAGGACTGTGAAGATGAGTTGTCTTTTCTTATGTCAGCGAGCACAACTATACGACCATCAAAAGGACGTACTACAAATGTTATGAAGAAGAAATCGAAACAGTTGAGGGATATGGAATCAACTTTAACATTGTTAAGACCAGACAACTCTGCTGTTAAAGAGGAAAAGTCATATGGTAATTTTTATGTTGTTACTTACGCTGTGATCACAGAATCTAAACACTCAGCATCATTATTGCCAGAGTCTATTTTTGGATACACTGCTGAGCGAGTTCCATCCATCTTTGATTCTCACAGATAAGATCCAACTTAATGTTGTCATATCTCTGGAGGTTTTCCAAGAAGTTTTCCCACCAAAATTGTCCTCATCTTCCCTGTCATAGTCTCCATATTCTTACTTATCATACACATACTTATCTTGTAAGTGAAGTGCTTTGTTGTGTATAAACATAGCAGATGTCTCATTCAAGAAATCAGTCAAGTAAAACTTAGGATCTGAGTTAAGAATTGAAGAGTATCATAAGTATTGGTCTTGTATCTGAAATGCATAGCATAGCATAGCAGTGCATTTCTGCCAGTTTTAATGTGTGTAAGTCTTGCCTTTATATTCTTATGAGCATATATGTATTTGTTAATGGTTACAAGACACTCTAGTATGGTTCCTCGCTCAGCAGTGATCATCACTGTTCACCTCTGTGAACCTACAGTTTAGCAGCTTTCATAATTTTGTTATATTTTGCTCGGTTATCACAGATCTGGGAGTTGTGTTAATTGTGCTGACATGAAAAATATTCAATTGACCATATCCATACATTGCTTCTAATTGAAGTAAAAATGTCATGTTGTTTATTAATATAACTTTTTGTATGATGGTGGTTTAAAGCATCCCTTAGTTTTGTGGAACCCGTTGGTGTTCTAGACAGTACTCCAGAATCTAAATTTAAGTTGAAAGGTTTAATATTTACTGCACTTTTCAATAAAAAATAGACTGTACTACATCTCTGTTAATTGAAACTGTTTCTGGCCGGTTCTGAACAGTTATATCCTGTCAGCTTTAAACAACCCTTGTTTCATGCCAGAAGCATTCTGATTTTGACCATCCCTGCATCAGCTCTAGGCAGCCCTGGCATTATCAACCAATTTTAAGCATATATATAAGCCCTTACATTATGCAGCAATGATAATCATTTATTCCACGTGAGCAATGACTTACAAGCATACGGTTTGTAGCCAGCAATTCTGAAACACTGTAAAATATGTGAACTGACAAAGTTAAATAAAGTTACTGTACTGAACATATGCCTTTCAGTGTTTATGTGCTATATAGATTCTGTATATTAAATATGAGATGTTTCTCTGTAATGACAAATGCCAGCAAAAACTGTTAACTGAGAGAGATATAATACAAACTAGTTTTTACTGAAAAGACCAGTAACTACCAGGTCTTCTGACTTTGCTTTGGGAATTTATGAACAGCTGCTATAATTTTTAATTCTTAACTAGTTCTGACTGCTGTTCTTAGATTTCTTTAATTCTTACTGATGAGAACTGTTAGTAACGGAATTTCAGAATTTGCTGTAACATATATCTGAACAGTCTGTTTCTATAAGTATATTTTTTTTTACTGGTTTTCACATATTATTCCCTCATATAACAATGGTATGATATGTGTAATATCTCCTTTGTGGAATGCGAACTCAGTACTCGGAGAGACAACCACACAAATTTCTATAACAAATATTTATCTCCTGCATACTAGCAGGTAGTCCAGCAAAGTGTACGGTAAGTGGTGAGGTGTTGTGAGCCCTGAAAAGAGCCATAACTCTTAAGGCAGGGTGTGCCTGATGGATGCCAGTAAGACTCCAACTGCAGCAGGCTGGCTCATCGGTCTCCCTTGCATCAGCAGTCAGCTGATCTTTGCGTCGGCTACTGGGTGGCTGCAGGCTGGTTGGTCTTGTCTGCTTTGGCATCTAGGCAACTGCAAACCAGCTGGTCTTCCTTGCATCAGCTGATGGTGTGCTGCTAGGAGATTCACTGTTGCTGTCCGAGCTCCAGATAAGCTGTCTCGATAGAAGCATAGCTGCAGCTGACTTAACATCTGGGAGGTCTGCATCTGTACGTCGTCAGTAGCAGTGCCCAACCTAATGGACATTGGAGCTGCCATTGTGTCTGCTGATTGGCTAACACTTGATGCAATGTGGGAGGCTTCCACACCTCCAGTTCTCTACAGTATAGAAAGTTGAAGCGCAGTATATATCCACAGTGTATTTTTTCTCTCGTTTATTTAGTACTTCTGTAATTGTGTTGCAGGTTTTGCACAGGCATACTTCTTGAAAGTGAAAGAAAGACTTGAAGGGACAGAACTGTATCAAGAATTCCTTAACATTATGAATGAATTTGGTACAAGTATATTGGATGTTTCTGATTTATACAAGAAAATAACTGCACTACTGAAACAGCACCCTGACCTCTGTGAAGAGTTTGTGGCTTTCCTTCTTCCAGAGCAAGCCATGCAGTGTGGCAAGTTTATGGAATATCTCATGATAACTAAAATGAGAGATTTCTTTCGGAAGTTAGAGGTTGGTAAACAGTTTCTCTTCAAGATCTGTTTTTAGCTGGAATTATTTTTAACTTAAGCTTTTTATGGCTAGCTTTTTTTTTCGTTTCGCTCAGAAAACAATGATTATTTGTGTCTCGCTCAATATACACTCATGTACAGACCATGTCAGTTATGTCAGACATATATACAGTCATAGGCAATGGGAACTATGCGTGTTTATTCTAATATACAATCATGCTAGTTAATAATATGTTGGACTTTAGTTTCTCACATTGGTGACTATGGAGAGTTATATCTTCTGGGATATAATGCTGTATAGCCCAGTGAAATTCAGCTAAAATTTCAGGAGAACATATCACCTCCATCTGTTGAAGAGCAAAAGCCTGAAGCCAGCTGATTCTTGCTTTTGCTTGGCTTACTCTTAGCTTTGAAAGTGGAGGTGGTATATTTCTCTGAAACACTGATTTTCACCAGGCTGCTTCATTATGTCTCAGAAGATGGAACTCTTGTTGTTAATGATAACTCACTGGCAACAAAAATTTATGTCCAGTGTTAATACAGAATCACAGCCCACAACTGCTTCTGTCTGGTATAATATATGTACTTACATCCAGAAATTGCAGACAGCAGAAATGCAATGAGTAAAAGGAATAAAAAGATACAGACAACATTGGCTTGAACATGTAGAAAGGACCGTGGAAGGATGAGTACCAAAGCAAGGTCTATGCCTAACATAATGCATACTGCTGGGTCTTCATGATTGTGACTTGTCAAATGTACATTCCACTCACTAATTATCTCTCTTATACTGAACACTAACATGCAGTTTCATGCTTCTTTCCATGTCCTTGTCAGTTTATTATTCATTGGGATAGTCTGCATTACTGACAGCATTGTGTAATAAAATCCAAATAAAAATGAGACATAATTTTGTAAAGGTAAACTATTTGGAGTCCCACTCTGGGCATGGATGTTTAGTTTGTGCATGTGTGTTTTTCTGTGTTTGTGTACAGGTAGAGGCCTTGCGACTAGCTGATCACCCGCCTAGGAGTCCTACCTAATGTCTAAGATCTAGTAAACCGAAGTGAAACGGAGAGTTTCATGGAGGTAGGCCTAGGCCCACCGGGGCTGTAGTGCCAAGGGAAAAAAAATTGTTTTACAGTGATAAATTTTTTGTCTGACATGTGTTCAGACACAAGCTAAGGAAAATCACACGTACATTTTCTGCATAATTCTGAAAGCTTTTTCTTTTTAATTTAAGAATCTTAATCCATGTTAGATGTAGAGAAATGTCATATCAAGAATAGACTGATAAACAAAAATAGACCAGAAACTGACATCATCTGTAAAGCTTTGTGACTTCGTCTGTTCCAGATTTACTATGAGAAGCAGCCACAACAAATGCAGAAAATCTATACAAATCTCTCTGAGTTGAGTAATGAAGTCAATGTGTCAGTTGGAGATGTCCGTAATGCTATTCTTCCTTTGCTAAAAGGCAACTCTCTTTTAATTGAAAACTTCTTGGCTTTATTGCCATATGAAAGACCTCCAGAGAGGTAAGCTTTTGTGAGTATTTCAAATACTGCCATTAGAACGAAGAATTTATGAAAACTTCGCATAAGACTGCTTGTTTATAAATGCTTTGCTGCCCTTAAAAGGTATTCTGTTTCCTCATAGTAGGTTACTCGGTCACTACTTTCTTAAAGTTGTTTCCATGTTTCAAACAAGTCACTTATTTAACTTCTTCTGTTTTTCTGAGATCACAGTGTCTCAGATATTGGTCCAGTTTCCATCTCTGGTGGGGAGAGTATGAATAAATTTCTACTCTTCTAGACCCCATAGGAGAACTTAAGCATCAAAGTCCATAAAACTTACAAAAATCCCTGCAGTTGGCAGCACAGTATTACCACTCCATGTTTATGTCCTAATTCTTTGAATCCATAGTGAGAATTCTTTTATATAAAGCGACTTGTTGAAGAGAATAGACTATCTAAATTTCAGCACTATACTTAACATTGATAATTTTCAGAAAAATGCATGTAGATTGCTATATTTACTTATCTAATATATCTCCCTTTTCCACCCAGAGAATTGTTTCTGAGCTTGTAGTGCTTGAAGATTGCCTTATATGGCCAGAACATGTAGCAGTATATTAGTGCATATATATTTTAATAACATCTTATGTACATAATGACCACTCTGTGGATTAAAGTGTGAATCAGTGTTACTGATTGTTGCAGTATAGATTGAACATATGATAGATTCTAAGTGGAGTCTAAATGCAACAGGATGCTTAAATATAATATTTACTCATATTTAACATTACCAGTCTCTGTGTTCACCATTCCTATCCTCTTTCTCAGCTTCGGTTTCTTCACAATTCCCATTTTCCATCTCACATTATCGTGTTCACTGCCAACATTTCCAATTTCCTCATCCTTTCGAGCCAGTTGCTCAGATACAGTATTTTTTAAATCCTTTGACTGTCGCATCTTGAGAGGTTGTTGCCATGGTCTTGATCCACTAAGACAGCAGTTCTTTAGTGGGCCCCTTTATTGTTGTGATGGCATCAGAACATAATTACCTGCCAAGAGCCATTCAGAATACAGTTGTTTCAAGTGGTCATTAAAAGCCTTAATCACCAGAACGTGTAATTATGAAGTCATCCCTCCAGCTTTGATCACAATGTTAGTATTCATTGCATGGATCACAGATCTGACATCCATTGTTTTATGTGACCTTGAGATGCATCCAGCACAAACATTCCTTGTTTTCTCAACACTACTCTTGGGCTCCTGTCCCAGAGAAGTAACCAGTCCCTCATCAGTTCATTTTGCTGTCCTTTCCTTAGTTTGAGGCATGAATATTAGGCCTATAGGTAGTTTTTCAGTTTGGTATCACATACAATAGCAGTTTCATGCCATCTGTTAATATTACAGTCACATCTTTTCGTTGCATGATGTTTTATGACAACAGACTTTGCATCTGCATCAATGATGGTGTAACTGGATGGCATGTTGAAATAGACTGGTGTGTCTTCAACATGGCCTCACAGTGTGTTGAGAACTCCTTGCAAAGTGAAAACCGTTAACTGTAAAGAAAGTCTTTTCTTCCACATTGTTTGTACACATTACTGTATGCTGGACTTAAAATCTGTTCCTCTCATTAATAATGATATTGCATTATGTCTTTGAATCTGCACAAACGACTGTATTCACATAGAATTGGCCTATATTCCAGCTTTTTTATTTCCATCTTCAGATGTTGCTTCAGGAGAGACTTTCAACTTTATTTTCGTCCATAACTGAAGTGAATACAATTGGACATGTCAAGAAATAATAGCGGATACATCACATGTCAAGGTCACATAAAATTTACACAGTGATTTAGCACTATAACAACCGTTATAAGGAACATAATAAAAAATACATAACACCAAAAGAAAAAGTCAGTAATATAAAACATGTAAACACAATATTAAAAATTGCAAACCAGAAGACAATCATCAGGCCAGTCATCAATCCAACCTTAACACATTGAGGACCGGCCGCATGTTATCATGCTTTTGGCTTTTAAACGTGGCAGACCGGTCGCATGATATCATGATTTTAGGACACGTTAGATCGTAATACACTATACCTTTCTCTGGTGCCACCCAAATGAAATTACTACTCCAAAGGAAAATGATCTTTGACCCTTCAAAGTCCTATGTACCAGGCAGGACGTTAGTGCAATATGAATCAAGGACAGAAGCGGTTGAAGACGAAACGATCTCTCGGAGAACAAGAAATCTCTGACGAGCTATCTGACGTTCCTTCTGAGACGTGTAGTGATAGTGATTTAGGCAGTGGCAGTGACAGGGGACAACAAAGAATTGTGGTCACAGGCAAAAAAAGTGAAAGTAGCTCTGACGAAAGCGCAGGTAGTAAAATTGCAGGGACAGCCACATGGGGAAAAGTAGACAAAATGCCTACTTTGGGACAGTTTACTGGAAATCCAGGGGTGAAACAAATTCCATCGGACCCAACGCAAGTGTCTGAAGTAGCAGAACTGTTTTTTGGAGATAGGGATACTCATGTTGTGAATATGATTTCCACAAATTATAATTCGAGCATGGTTGATGTTCAAAGGAGACATGGACAAGTAAAGAAGCCTATTTGTATTTCTGAGTATAATATGTTCATGAAGGGAGTTGATAGAGCTGATCAATACTTGGTCTATTATTCTCTTCCTAAGAAAATAAAGTGGACAAAGAAAGTTGCCTTGTGGCTTATAAATTGTGCCATTTTCAATTCATTTTTCGTTTACAAAAATCTAAACCCTGATTCGAAATTGAAATACAAAGCATTTCTGATGAATGTGGCAAAGGCCTGGGCTACAGACCAGATGGTGACGGCAGAACCAGAGTCAGGCACAGACTTAGTGCGACCGGGCCCATCAACTCCCACCCCACGCAGCCTCATGTGGACACCCCTGGGCGACTCTCAGGTGATATGCGGAAGCATACCGTCGTGAAAATTGTGAAGAGTGAACATTCCAAGGGGAAGCATCCTTCTAGGCAGTGCTGTGTTTGCACAGTTCACAAAAAAGGAGTATGACTGTCTACATTTGCAAGTGTGTAATGCCACTTCACAAAGGGGAATGTTTCCAGAAATATCACACTCTCAAGCACTTCTAGAAGCATTGGTAAGTGTTCTCCAAAAAGTTTAGTTCATAAAATTAATTAGGAGATTTTATATTAATTTTTAAAGTGAACAGTGCACAAGTTAAGGTAGTAGGTTTAAAAATGCTGGTCCCCAGGGTGATTTAAATATTTAAATTGCCGGTCCGCAAAGTGTTAAGATAAACCATGACTTATTTGTCCTTTTCCACTTCATCATTCGCAGTTAACCTACACTTTGGTGCTATTACCTGTGCCCTTGAACAAATCATTATTAAATCAACACAGTGATCAGTCAGATCAATCTTTTTGGTTATTGGTACACTTCTTAAAGCCATAGATTATGGTCTTCTGAGTTGTTTCACCATGTAGTCTGTAGGTGGGTAAACTAACATCAGTCTTCTACCCTAAGGAGGGAGACAGTAGGCCCTCCAAAGTGCTAGCGCAACCCAGAAGGCCACAATCTAAGTCTTTAGGGACATAAAACCCTGCAGTCACACATTTTGAAAGCTTTGCTGTGCAGTGGAAACATGATGATGAAAATGGAGAATAATTTGTCATATATATACAGTCTGATGCCAGAATTTGAAGAAATGGATCTAGGAGATGTTGATAATGAGCAGTTGAGTGAGGAAGATCTATTTGAAACACTGGTTGTACCAGACCAACAAGATGCATATGGTGGTGATAACTGCGCCTGCACCTGTCACAGCTCTCGTGATGACAAGTATCGCAACCGTATTGCACATTGCATGTCTTGTGGCACCAGGGTAAGGTGAATCATGTCATAAGACTTGACTGTATGAGTCATTTCTGAAATTGAAATACCCACGCAATTCTTGTAAGAATAACTACCGAATGTTTTAGATACAAATAATTCTCTCATCTCTGTATTAAGAATTTGATTTTCCCTTAAGTATCCTTATTAACTTCTCTGTTTTTCTTTCTTTTCTTCATATATTTCTCTTTTATTTATCATCATCAATTTTCTCCCTTCTTTTTGTCTCTATTGCATTCTTTAATTTTCTTCCATGTTTCCCCTGTCTCTTATCCTACATATCTGTTTCCTTCACCTTCCATAATTTCCAATTTCTTTTCTCCTATTTTTCCTTCCTTTTTATGGGAGTCTTCCATCCTTCTAGCTCCATGGCCTGTTATAGGGATAGCTTCACCTTTTATTACCTTGGAAGATATTCCTAAAATGATATATAAATGTGCATGTAATAGAGACAAATTACACAGTCTTGATCTCTGCATTGAAAGGGGGAGAGGCCATGATCATGCTCCAGTTGCTTTGCTCTCAGGAGCTCATTAGACAAGAGAGATTGGGTGGCAGAGGGACCTTTTCTGTGCTGGGGATTAAGATTACTAAAATCAGCTGTGGGTTTATTTTTAAAGAATATATATTCAGAGAAGTGGAAAGCTGGCAACTAACTGCCTGAGGCATGGAACTGACTCAGGACTGTCCTCTGGTAAGTTTTGGATTTAATGGTGTTGAATATTTGGATTATATTGCCAGAGAGTTAATTGTTTTTGTATGTTGCTAATTCCATGAAACAGAATTCTTGAGAAGCCAATTGTCACTTAGTTGGTCATGCAATTCTTTAGGTTTTTGGATGCCTAAGGTACATTACCATGGAGAAGAGCATGCCACTGGACTCTTTCCTGAGCCAGTCACATCCATTTCACACTAATATTGCAATTCTCTAATTGAGCTCCTTCGTGGTGGTACCTAAATGCCAATTTTTTTATACTGAGAGGTTGTCAGTTCTCATCCAGCCCCAAGCAAGATGATCACTCCTGAATCTGTCTGAATCTGGTTATTCTGCATGTATGTAGCTATTCATATCCAGAGACTTGTCTACTCTATGAATAACCTCAGGACACAGAGCATTTTACAGCACAGTAAAATTAAATGGGGTGTAATCAAATCAAGTCCTGTGCTCTGGCATCTGATGTATTATACTGCTCTCATTCCTTGTATTTCCTGTCTGTAATTCACTCACTCTTTGCTACAAAGTATTGAACATACCTTCTACTCTGTATCATGTTTTACGGTGTTTCACCAACAGGTGGTGTAGTAACAATGATGTAGTCTTGTATTTGTGAGGTACTGGTTCAAATCTTGGCTGAGCTGCCATTTGTCATGTGTGAGGTTATTATATGGTTTTCCTCACTTGTAGGCAAGTGCTCTGGTAGTACCTGCATTGCATACAGGCCAGGACGGCCTCCTTCGAAATGTACTTGCCTATACTGTACATCATTTGTGGGATCATGTTTCCATCTCATTTAGAGCTATAGCTGTATAACCTGTTCACCAGAAACAGTGTTATTAAATAACCTAACATCAAATCATTATTATGTTGCAGTTTATTCATGGGAAAGTATATCTGCAGACAGGGAGAGGCCTGCGACCTGCAAAAGTTGTATTTGATGCTGAGGGTAACAGTGATAGCATCAACAGGTTATCGGCCAAAAGTAAACCCAAAGCACGAAATCGAAGGAGAGCACTAAGTCTTGTTGAAGCTGCAGGTGGTAGTAAGGACAATTCTCCAGTGAAACATACTAACCAGACTGGCGATGCACGTAGTGAAGTGATTGAACATGGAGGAGTTAATAACCCAACATATAAATCAAACATAAAGTCCTCATCTCCAAAGCATGTTCGTACAGCTAAAACAAAATCTTCTGGATCCACTCTTAAAGGACGTGAAAAAGCAAATGTTGTGAATACAGTTAGTACTTCTAAAGCCTTCAGTAACGAAGAGAAAGAGTCTTCAGGTGACACAGAAGAACAGAAACAGTCTGGTTCTGCTTGTTGCAACAGACTCAACTGTGATAAGCAGATTGTTCTCTCTACAAAACCTGTGGTATTGCTACATAATATTAGCAGTTCATTTCATAGTATTTCCATGCCTAAAACATCATATAGAAACAGCAATAGTGTACCATCCCCTACTCTGGATGACAGGGCAGCTACAGCTGTCACTGATCCTGTTACTGTTAGCTCTGTTCCAAATGCTGAATTACATAATGCCAGTAACACAGTACTGCCCATCCCTGCTGTTAGCATGGATGGGCCCAACCTAGTCTCTCCAGCTGTCGATATTATTTCTAGTAGTCAAGATATGTCATCACCTGAAGCAGCATATGATGAAAGTGCTATTTTGCCTCCAGACACAGCAGCTGTAGATTCAAGTATCAAAGACTTCGGCACACTATCACATGTTATTCATGGGGGGAAAGATGCCACTTTTGACTTTGGGGATAAAAATCGGTTGTTGAGTAATGTAGAAAAATCTGGCAGTCCAACTGGTGAAACTCGTGAATCAGTGTCTTGTGAAGATGGTTATATTTCCAGAGAAGTGACCCAGATTTTGGAACATAGCAACTTTAGTGATATGGAGGTTGTTGCTTGTGATGTAACAATGAATGATGTGACCATGTCGGAACATGAAGATGAGGAATCAGCATTAGAAAGTGTGGAGACACAGCAGGAAGATGAATTTGATAGATCACAGCAGACACATTGTAACAGTGATTCCACTTCAGGTTCGTGGACCAGAGAAGAAGATAAGATCATACTTCAGATGTTTCAGCTGGACTGTAGTATGGATCAGACTTTCATAAAAATCAGCGAACAGCTTCCTCTCCGCACTTTGGATGAGGTAAGTGTTGATTGAATACTTACCTGTAGTACTAAGACATTTCTGTCACTAGGCTCGAGAAATACAATTGAAATCTCTAGCCACTTAATGAAATCTGTTTACCTATAGTCTCACATGCTTCATGTCAGTATTTTTAGTAATAAAGAAACGTTTTACTCTCTAACCAGCCAAGTGCTGGATCAGAGGCAGACTCCAACTTAAAGATCTAGGATCTGATAGTGTGTTACCTGGTCATGGCTATTGCACCCTTCAGGGGATGATGCTAGATGAGTGTGGGGTTAGGCAATACTGAAGGAACTCAGAGAAACCCCGCTTTGCTCACTGATTTTAAACACTCAGACTTGGGAGATGCGTAATAAGGCTGATATTGGAAATGCACCACTTTGCAAAGAGTTTTCATTTGTTGGAAGTAGTTTTCAGTGTGAATGAAGATTGTGAGGAAGCAGTTGTTGAACAAATTGCAATGAAATAGCAGAAGACATCAGGAGATCAGAAAAGTGATGAGGAAGGTACGACCAAGCGTGAACAAGTGACTAACCAGGATGCTAGGGAATATATTGCTGGACTGTGACTTTATTTCATGTAGGAAGACAATGAAAGTAGTCTTAAATGTGGACTGGAAACATGCACTGGTTTTGTTCAGTTGTAGTCAGTTAAGAGAACATGACAGCGTACACTCACTCAGTTAGTCACTAACTTTTAAGAAGCATATGCATGTTGAATATGTAAATGAATCAAATTTGTTTCTAGGATAAATATTTCTCTATGATTTGCACCAATTGTTTCAACTCATCTAAAATCAATATTTTTCTTATTCGGTAAATAGAAAGCTTGTCTTTTGTCTTATGTACATACTGTATACCTTTTTAAACCTTGTGGGCATCTGCTTAATTGGGGCAAAGTACTCTAGTTCTGATATGTGTCCCAGTTAACCAGAATCCACTGTATATGATGTATGAAGTTTCTTTTAATATGGTGCACCCCCTGAAGATGGTCTTGCGGGACCAGGACATGTCAAGGTTTTAACAGCTTAAAATCAACATAAAGAAATAAACTAGATATACTTAAAACGGTAATTTATGTCTTACTTTAAGATTGGAAAAGTTTATGAGGGCTATCATTTTCGTTTGCAGTATTCCTGGAGGTGAGCATGATACATATATAGCCGTTGTGTTTGCTGAGTAGAACATGTAACTCCAAATTGTTCATGTTTGCTTACAAATTGTACACATTGCATATCAGGTGGATTTCTTTTCAGATAAGAAGCAGGTTTCAAGTTCTCATGGCACTGTTGCAACAGATGACTGGAGCAAAGATGGAAGAAGATTCGAACAGCTCTGGTCAGTAGAAAACATACAGGTAAATAGATTTTTTGGTAGCATCTGTGTCTCATAATAACATTAAAATGATTGTATTAAATTATTTGCAGAAGATGTATGTTATTTTTTATTTTTATTGCTTCACACTGTAAATTAAGAGAGGTAAAATATTGTATTTCTCAATTTAAGCATTTTATATTTTGATTTTGCTGTAACAAATATGTAATGAAAATAATAGAAATAAGTTACATAGATTGTCAAAACAAAGGATTAAAAATGAGCAACATATCTAATCAGGAAAACATTATGTTCAATCTACTGTTATGTTTGTAAATCAGGATTATAATTAAAATCATGTTCAAATTGTTTTTGTAGCACTTTGTAATATGTGTTAGAAATATCTGTTTCCTGGAAAACTGTGAAAGGAAAGGTGATATTTGCACATGCTAAGCAACTGCAGTTTCTTGCAGAAATATATATGTTCTTACCTGAAACTGCTATCCCCCTCCCAAGAATTCCTAACAAAAAGCCTCTTCAGTGTTTATTACGCCATGTTTAGTGCATACCATTACAGTTCTTTGTATAAACCATAAATTTGTACTTCTGAAAGCAATGTAGTCATGAAAGATGTTAACTGTAACTTGATATCTGGAATGTACAATAGCTTTTAAGCTAATTTTGACTCTTAAATCAATTAACCAAAGTCATGAATCTCAGCAGAAAATTTTACGGCTCTCCTTACACAATATTCAAACTTGAACCAAAGTACGAGTAATATGCAAATATTTTTATGTGGTAGGAGCACTTGGCAGTGTTCTGTGTAAAATTTAAAAATTCTGTGTAATGACATTGGGCATTGTGAGGGATGTAGGCACTAGTGGGCAGCTGGTCTCAGTCTCACCCCACCAAAAAAAAAAAAACAAAAAAAAAACGAACTCATAATGAAGTAGCAGAAGGCACGGGACATCTCAGTACAGACATTCTGTCTCTGTTGCAGAATCGAACTTAGAAGTTCCTGAAATACAGGACTTGTGACGAAACAGTTTTCCCTGTATTTCAGTAAATATTTAGCAAATAGAAAACTGGTCCAAATGAAAGTTCCCATTACTAGTGAGAAATACTATATAAGTTCATTAATGTCGACTTTCAGAGGGAGTAAGAGTCATGTTGAACAGATATTAAACTAGAGTAAACAGATCCAGTTTCCGAAACGTCGTGTTTTTGTTATCTTAAAAACTAGGACGATGGATAAAGTCCAGAAACCCAATATATCAGTAGAGTAAATTTGTTTGACAACTTTTAGTATGTATGCAGAATATCAAATTTCAGTTTATCTGCAAAGGGTACGGACCCATATTTTCTTCCCACTGTGTTCATTTTATGCATTTCATTCAATGAACGACCTGTTCTATGCAGTAACCTCCAGGCCAACTATTACTCTACACATGAGGGGCGTTTTCTGTCTTCGTTTTGCAGTGCATACCAATCTAAGAATTTGGTGAAGTGCTAATCAGTGCATGCTCATGTAAAAAAAAAAATCTTCCCCTGTAACAGGCCACGAAGGCCCATTGGGTTGTGATACATCGAGGCTGCCACATTTGGTCTAGAAAATTGGCTCACAGGTGATGGTGAGGTTGTCAGTCATACACGCCTGCAGCATGAAGATTCCTGATACTCATTTCTGTTAGAGGCAGAGTGGACCCCAGGGGTTATAGTGCTGCTGGAAGGATTAGGTAAATTAAAAAAAAAAAACCTTATCAGGATTCGAACCCACGACCTTACGGTTTGTAGCGTAGTGCCTCAACCAACTACGTTACTGCGTGCTTCACATACTGGATTAAGAATAATAGATCACTGTGGTCGTGGTGCAAGGGCCAAGAAGGCCCACCCCTTATACGTTCAACGTCGAATAAAGTAACGTATCGCGACTAGGGGACGCGTTCCATTAGTGGGACTTGTCTTGGAAACAACGCAGTCCACACAAATTTTGCCCTGCATTGCAAGCACAAGTTTCCCATTAATGCCACGGTGTGATTGTAATTATGAAAATAGAATTTCACTTTTATTTAATTACGTCCATAAAACGTGTTATAAAATATTACAAAAATTCTAAAAGAAAAGGCGTTGTTTTTACTATGATTGGATTACTGTTGTTTGACAAATTGAACCGTGAGACACAAGATGCAAAGGTTGAGAATAACTGGAGTAACGCAGCTGAATATTACTGTGGGAAATTAACAGCCAGGTGAAAAATGTTCACGAAAACCAATTCAGTACAGGCTATTTTAGGATATTTCATAGCTACAAACTACAGTAGTCCAAACTTTCTCCACTCTCACTTTTGTGAAAGCATACTTGCTGTTTCAAGAAATTGTTTTGTCTGGGGATTGAAGTCCATCTTTCTTCCATTACTGCATCTTAAAATACTGCGTTGTTTAGCGCCTTCTGTGTGTACAGACACGACTTTGGTAACTCTTATCCTTATCCTGCTTTCTTTTGTTACGAGATATGTAGGCTTCAGAGATTACCATGCTTTTTGTGCATGTCCCACTTTTTCAACTTCTAAACCAATTTAAAAAATGTTCATGAAATTCGGTATGAACTTTACACCATGGAAGGCCACCCCAAACCTCTCGCAATTGTTAATTCCCTACAATCGGAATTAACGACACACAGGACGCGGAAATGTGGCGTGATAAGAATACTAACACCAATTAATATTATGTTCTGAAAACAAACGCGGCAGTAGATCCTCAAAAGACTGGGACCTTTGTTAAGATACATTTTACGTAGTGTAAAACAATATACCGACCGAGCGACCGCCACTTGTCGGCGAAGTTTAGTGCCAACTTTTGCGGATAGAGGGTGTCACGTGGTCAGCGCAACGAATCCCCATGCCCATTAATTTTGTTTTTCTAGGCCGGAGCCGCTATTTCCTTGAAATAGCTGTTCATATCTAGAAAAGCGAGACTAACGGCCGTGGGGATCCGTTGCGCTGACCACGTGACACTCTCTATCCGCAAAATTTGGCACTAACTTCGCCGACAAACGGCGGTCGCTCGATCGGTATAGTTCGCTTGTGGACTACATGCCACGAAGCTTTTTTTGTTGCATTACTATATCTAAAACTGTTTATGTACTACACAGTCCGCCAACAATGCAACAAATTGTTCCTTCTTTCCTTCACTTTCACTTTCGTCACATGTTTCGGCCCTAAATGGCCGTCCTCAGGTGCCTTACTATGCTTAAACTGCTACACTGCATTAATACTATCCATTCATTACATAAGTAACTTCACGCGTCATGACTCAAAACGTTATAGTTGTGGTCTAACAACCCCACACCATGCTAGAGGGAACAACGCACAAGCAAGGGGCAAAATTACAGATTGCAGACGTAACACAACAACGGGCTTACGAACAGAAAAACAGGTCGCTGCAATAAAACATCCGAAGAACAGTAAATAGATCTAATCTAGTGGACGACGTCCCCTGTCAGGTGTAATAAGAATTTTACAAATTTTAATATATTTCATTTGCTTTAAATTAAGTGAACTGCAGCTTGTGCTATTTAGCGCATACTAATTAGACCACAACTGTAACGTTTTGAATCATGAAGCGTACAGTTGCATAATTAATGGATAATGTTTGTGCAGTGTAGCGGTTTTAGCATAGTAAGGCGCCTGAGGACGGCCATTTAGGGCCGAAACATGTGACGAAAGTGAAAGTGAAAGAAAGAAGGAACAATTTGTTGCATTGTTGATGGACTGTGTAGTACATAAACAGTTTTGTCTTATCTGCGCTTGATATGCATGGCTAAATGCAGCACCTCCCATCGTGGGCCTGAATGGGGCATCGTTCTTTTGCATGTCAACGTGCGTAGGCAGGCAACTTCCGGTTCCTTCTTTATAATTCTGTTGACTGACAGAATATTTGGGCCCCTACACGGCGACTGTATGGCGGAACATGTAGTACGCATAGGAGCTAACAAAAAACATATTGGAAGTACCTTGTATTGATATGCTGATATTCAAGGAAGTGTTATTATGTTCTTCTTGGATGTAATGCCGTGTAGTTTGGTACATATGTAGGTCTACGAGAGGTTTTTATTTTACAAAGCTCGATTTAAGCATCATATGTAGTAGATGTAGGGGCACGCGGTAGCGTAGTTGGTTGAGGCACTATGCTACAAGCCGGGAGGGCGCGGGATCGAATCCCGATGAGGTCATTACATTTTTTTCAAAATACCTAATCCTTCCAGCCGCACTATGGCCCTGGGGTCGGCTCAGCCTCTAACAGAGATGAGTACCAGGAATATTCTTGGGGGTAAAGGGCGGCCGATGTGTAAGACTGACAACCTTTTTTTTTATTGCTAGTGGGGTGGGACTAAGTCCCTTGCACTGCAGCTACTTCGGGCCTATTGTACCAGCCCCAGATGATAGGTGAGGGTGATTGTAAAGCAGTTGGTGGAATGAAGATTGGCAGGGGAAACCGAAGTACTCGGAGAAAACCTGCCCCAGCGCCACTTTGTCCACCACAAATCCCACTTGACCAGACCCGGGATCGAACACGGGCCGCCGCTGTGGGAAGCCAGCGACTAACCGCTTGAGCTATGGCGCGGCCCAAAGACTAACAACCTTACCGCCATCTGTGAGCCGATTGTCTCGAAGATGTGTCAGCCTCGACGTCCTAAAACCTTGTGGGCCTTCACGGCCTGTTACATGGATAAATTTACCTTTTTCTTTACACGTATGAGAGACCTCTGTGATTTCCTATGAAGTGTAACCAATAACAGTTGCTAAATTAATTTTAATGACATGAGTTCTGGGCGCGCCTTCTAGAAAACTAACTCGATGGTGCAAGATCTCTCTGAGAAAATTGCCTGTAATCCATCTAGTCAAATATAATACTAGTCTGCTCATTACCCTATTCTCAAGAGCCCGACATTGAATATTATCCTGACTCTCACGCCCTTTTAGTTGAAGATCCATTTTCATATTGTCCCTTCATCTACCTCTAAGTCTTTGGTTTCTCAACTGCA